AAGCAGTTGGCCCAGCCAGAGATCCAGCCACCGGCGGGGATAAGCTCGCGCTCGTACTCCTCGTTGGCAATGATCTCAGCAAGCTCGAATTCAACCATGGACCTGAGCTCAGCAGCCTGGGGGTCGGTAGGGTGGACACCACGGATCTTCATCAGAGCCTTCTTGGCCTCATCGGGCTTGCCGCGCTTGACGAAGTAACGAGGAGAGTCGGGAAGGCAAGCAATACCACCACCGAGGATAAGACCCCAGGCGAACTGGATACCAATGGGGATGCGGTACTCGCCAGTGTCACCACGACCCTGGACGCCGTAGTTGACACAGGCGGCAAGCAGGAGACCAATGGTAATGCAGAACTGGTAACCGGAGACGAGCGCACCACGGACCTTCTTGGGGCAAATCTCGGACATGTAGAGAATGACAATGGCAGACTCGAAACCGACACCAATACCGGCGATGGCACGACCAGCGACAAGGAGGTCACGGCCAGTGGCAGCCATTTGCAAAACAACTCCTAAGTGGGGGTTAGTGGCTTGTTTCATAAAGTAGTGCAAGCGGGGGAGTTCGTACCGATGATGTAGATGAGACATCCCAGGACAATGGTCCACTTGCGACCAATCATGTCGGAAAGGTCACCAGCGGCGAGAGCACCGAAGAAAGTACCAGCGGAGAGAATGGAGACGATGAGCGAGGTGTTGCCAGAGCTGATCTTGCAGAGACCACCGGCAGTGTCAAGACCCTGAGGGCAGATGGGGCCCTCAACTTCCTCGATGAAGAGAGGCGAGTTGAGCACACCGTTGATGTATCCGGAATCGTAACCTGGGTATGCAGTCAGCCACTATTACTGTGGAGATTGTACAATGTTGTTGTCTTACCGAAGAAGATACCACCAAAGGATGCGAAGGCGCAGAGAAGGTAGGCCTTCCAGGTGACAGGGCACTCAGTCATGTTGACATCGGTAGTAGCTTGGATGCCCTTGGGGTTGGCGGCCTCGTCGGCCAGGTCGTTGTTGTGGCTCATGATGGGCAAGTGCGTGGGGGTTGTACGCTGAGGGAGTTGACGAAGCGCGTTGCTTGAAGCTGTGCAGGGTAGAACTCGCACGCGGCCTTGGACGAAGAATCAGAATCCGAGATGCGGGTGAGTTGAGGGTTAATAAACAGAGCTGGAGATTTGAGATCTAGTGCAGTGCGGAACAAGTGTACCGCAGAAATGGCTAGGTAACATTGCGGCGCAACTAGTAGGGGCCCGTGCTTCCCTGCTATTGGGTGCATTAGCCTGGAACCCAGTGAAGGGTGCGCGCCACCAGCTCTCTGGGGAATGGTCGCCCGCGTTTTGCCAGCTCCAGCTTCTTCTCCAGGCCCGACTGGCCCGACTAACCTGGTAATTTGACAAGTGTCGGACCGGCATTTGCACCGGCTGTGATTTGACCTTGGCAGCCAGAGCACAGACGGTGGTTTTGCCTGTCTAGAACGCTTCTAGGTTTTCAGAGCCGCACGTGAGGTGCTCCCCGACCAAGGGTTCCCACTTCACTAGACTCCACCATCGTGGCCCATGGAGTCTCTCGTGGCCCATGGAGTCGGCTAACGTGTGTCTGGAGCAGACTGGTAACGGCACTAGCCCCCAATACCAGGTGCGCGGCGCCCTACACTCGGCTCCCTCCGCCTTCTACGCCTGCTTTCTAACATCACGATGATGCGCTGACGATGCACCAATGGCATGGCCTGTGCTATGCTTTTCACCACTGCAGGCCTCTTTCCCCAGACAACACCATGTGGCTGAACGCTAATGCAACGGCGGTCATGATGAATGTGAACTGCTGACGCTTGTCCGCCATGGACGCCTAACGGCCAATACGCGACTTCGCTGGCCTTCGGAGCTCCTAATTAAGCGCGCAGTGTGGCACGAGTCGCTCTCATTAGCCCAACACCACCAACCCCAGCCTCCGCTCCTGTCCCGACGCTGGAAACGTCCAACCGGGGCCGCCCTTGATTAGTGCATGTGGTCACGATGCACGGTCAGGATGCCTGACCCAGCGACCGCGAGAGATGCAAATCCAGTCCCTTCGCTGCGGGAGCAGATGGTGGTAGCGATGATGGCGAGAAGGCTGTCGCTACCGAGGTGGTTCGTTCACGTGGGTCGCTCGCTGTCAATCACGCGGAGGTCTCCCCATGGTTTCGATCCGACGGCCCACAACCCTGATTGGCCATGCCCTGCGCTAGTGCCTACCCCGACGAAGCTTGACGCGGAAAAGAATTCAGCCCCGACATAGCACGAATCGCCGAAGAGAAAATCTTCAGGCGCGGCATCTGAGCTCTGAGGTACATGACAAAGCGACATCGCGTACCCCGACATTCATCGTCCGCATGTTCTTCTCCACATTGTCGCCCAACGCACTGCTGCTGCTTCGCTACCATCTTTTCTCGCGTCCCCGCTGAGATGTCACCACCCCACAACTCGTACCGACTGTGCAAACTTTGTGCGACAGTGGTGGCCTCAGCCGCAGCTCTTCTTATGCAGGACTTCATTGTTACACGAGAAGCCTGTCAGACGCCGGGGTGCAATGCCTCAGTTCATCATGTTGCTCAGCTGTCATGTGCAAGCTGGCTCCTCCAGGCCTCGGGACAAGAAATGGTCCTTGGATCTTGAACGTCCTCCTGTGTTTGGGTGGCATCTGTCAGGAAACTTGAGCTGGGTATCTCAAGATGGCCAACACCGTTGGATTTGGCTCTGAACGCTTCTGGCGGCTCTTGTGGTGCCATGGTGTAGTACTGTGTTTCCTAATAAGTATCTGGGGCTCCGCGAGCGACTGCAGCACATCTGCAACATTGCGGGTATCGAAGACTGATCTTGTAGGAGTATTGGATGCTCATTTGCCAATCTTCAACGTCGACTTAGGCCCCTGTCTTGTCTTCAGAACGAGATATCGATGCAGCAAAGCTGACCAATAGGCACAAGCTCGGCGGGGTAGCCTGCATTGCTTCCTCCAGCCTTGCGCAACTGCCTTATCGCCATTACATCCTACACATCCTCTATCCACTTCGCAGAAGTGAACCAATTTAGCTTCATGGCATGGCACGATGCGAGCTGCGCAGACCTGCATCTGGAGTGGGAAGACGGACGCCCTGGGTGCCGCACTTGCCAGCGCAGGGCGCCCGAGCTCACGCCTATCCACCCGATTTCACCGCCCGCGCCTCCGCTACATACTTCACGATCACAACTGGTGTGCACATGGCCCCCACGAGTCTTTTCCAATCTCATTCGAGACGAAGATCAGGGCTATGCTGCAGCGTCTGGTCATGACTATGATGAAGAGCAAAAGCTACGAGCACTCATATGTGCCAACATTGATGAATGGACTGCCAGCCATGCGAACCAGGGACCTGAACCCTCGTTTCCGCGGAATCATGAGGACTTGCAGCAGCAGATACGCCCAGAGCCGATGCTACACAAGATTTATTCCCGCCTTCCTGCGACTGATTCGATTCGTCTTCTTTGCCTGCATGGCAGCAAAATGAAGAGCGACCCTATTCATTGCTCGTTACTAGTTTGTGGGCTTCGCGATCAGAGCCGACCAATCTTCGAGGCTTTATCATATACCTGGGCAGACTCCGATGGCAATTCAGCCCTGTGCAAGACTATCTTCATCGGTCCAAACTACGACACTTGTCTCGTGACGAAAAACTGCATGGCAGCGCTACAACGTTACCGGATTGCTGTCGACCGTCTTATCTGGGTAGACGCCATCTGCATAAATCAGTTCGATTTGGAAGAGCGCGGGCAACAAGTGTCACTCATGAGGGAAATATACGAGTCAGCGTCGAGGGTTCTCATATATGCGGATGATGAGAGTGCCAAACGTGTCCCCATTCCAGACTTTACTGATGATAACCACATGACCTCAGTGGATCCACGATTCATCTTGCAGATACCCTACTTCTCACGCATCTGGGTAATCCAAGAGGTCCAGCTTAGCAACAAAGCCACCCTCACCATTGGTGACGACACAATCGATTGGGACCAGTATTTGACATATCTAAGCAAGTACAGAAATAAGACGCTCGAGGGTATGGGTGAATGGAAGCCTGAGGGTGGAAGCGAGGGGAAGTACGGGTATGGACGCGATTGGAAGCGCGAGGGTGAGTTCGAGGACAAGCGCTGGGTGCAGCATTGGGTGGAGTACCTCAATATCGAGCAAAGCGACATGAGTATCATATCGCTGCTCAGAGCCACACTGCATTGCCGATGCGGGGATGCACGGGATAGACTATATGGCTTATTAGGCCTCACTGGTAGGAACGAGCGATCCAATCTTCCGGTCGATTATGGCATCAGCGTTCAACAGCTCTATACAGGCTTGGCAATGTACTGGCTTACAGAGTGGGGATCCTGGCCACTCCATTCATACATATTGGATCTTGCCTTTCTTCCAAAAACGACCCCATTGCTGCCTTCGTGGGTTCCTGACTGGGATTCACTTTCCAATTTAGAGACGAGCCACGAGCATACCACTTCAGCATCCCAAGCGATCGAATTCAGATCTACAGATCTGGGGAGATCCTCGTCAGGTCTGAATTGGGGTTGGCCTAGAAAACACGTATCCCAATATAGATGGACACTAGAAGACGTTTGCAGACCACAGGGTACAGCAAAACCACTACGAGAAGCTGGTATAATGGTGGTCGACGCTGTCCATCTACTGTCTGTTTCGGAAGACGAGATTCAATTCACCGACATTAACGGTAATCCATTACATGGTCTGGGTTTCGCAGACCCAGATGATCTGGATTTAGCAGACCCAGAGAATCTTGGTCGAACAGGGGATCGCATGCCACGCGAAGACGCTCAATTGCATATTCTAGTCAACTGGAATCGAGCCTGTCTATTGAAGTTGCACGCCAACAAGGTCTATAGCCTCGCCAGGCCATGTGTAATATCGTGTGGTTTACGAGGCGTTCCGACTAGTGATCCACGGGCTATCAGGCAAGACGCCACCCACTACTCCCATGGTGAAAGTTTTTCTTATTTTCCGATGAGAGAAGCAGTCCCCGGCGGCTACTCACTTATTCCGGGCTTTCGTGAACGTGGAAACATATTTGCAATATCTGGGCAGCTGGCTGGCCTTGAAGCAGAGATTGTGGAGTGTTGGCTGATCGATCTGTTCTTCTTCAGTACACGTGCTGGAAGCGCATTCGCAGAGTCATCACGCACCGTCATCATTCAAGATCACTGGAAGCAACATTTTCCTTTGGCGACCGCTGCTACCCAACAATCAGATTGGTTGTCCGAAGCACATGTAGCCAAAAGCCAGGAGCCGGTCGAAATGGCGGCCATCAGGGAACATCATGAGCATGTCATGGCTTTTGCCTTTGAGAACGCAGCACTCGGCTTCGACATCAGTGGATCAGCTCATGTAGAGCTCACCGAATTGGTCAAGAAGATCTACAAGCTCCCCGACTCGCATGGTGTCAATCTGTTAGACGCAAGAATCTCTTTTCGCATAGAGCGAGTTCGAAAAACATGGTACTGGAGGCAGATATTATCGATGAGAGAAATGTATGAATATCTAGATGGGGTTGTGCATCGCCATACAAACGCCTGCAAGAACTTCCAGCCTCCGAACCTTGCGATATTGCAGATAAACCCATTCCTACTCCCTGTAAGTGTCCGTACCATGGGCACGCTTCTATGGACATGGGAGACCCGCAGACAGAAAACGGTACGTGTCACGGTGGGTGACATGATTCGTAATGCTGTCACGCTGCTAGAAGATCTCAAGATCGATGACAAGTTCACGCTCGAGCAGAACATCAACATACTCTGGATTAGCGTATTAACGATTGAGATGATTGTACGGTTGCGAGGTGTACTGCAACAACGTCTTGTCCTGAAGGCCATTGCGGACAAGATGCACAAAGTGCAAAAGATATACCTTATTTAGAGAAGAAGATTCAACTCCGTCACTCGGGTGTCGCAGTAGAGACATCATCACAAGTAGACGAACTAAGATTACGAAATCAGAATTACCGCAGTCTCATACACGTTCCTGCAAACATGTGTCCGATAGAACCTGTTGGTCCAAGTGAGGATATGATAAGGAGATGAGGGAACACCAAGGAGACATGTCACCCTCAGTGGCAATCTACATACCCTCCATCGCATGATAAAATGAAGGACTGTCACGGTGCACTCGACAGAAAATAGTCTGCTTTAGAAATACTGATCGAATCTCTCATTCAGCAACATGTACAGTAAAAGCGCAGCACGGCTGCGTCTGTCAAAAAAGGATATATACAAAAAGTCAACCAGAGCATAAAGTCTAGCCTATCGTCGTTTCAATCCTCCAGATCATGCAAGACATACACATCCTACTCCTTGCGGAGAAGGGCCTCGCGGAAAGCACGGCGACCACGCTTGGCCTTGCCACCCTTGCAGTTCTCAGAGTTGTGCGCAACAGCCTCGCTGCTAGCAGCAGGCTCCTCGGAAGAAGGAACAGGGGATGCAGCGGGCGAGGTCTCCTCAGCAGGCTCCTCAGTAGGGGTCTGAGCAGGAGACTGAGCGCCGCCGCTGGTGCTGGCATCCCAGACAGCGGGGGCGGGGAAAGTGTAGTCCTTGTATCCGCCCCAGATGCTGAAGTTGAACTCTGGGTCGTCCTTCTTGTAGGCGCCGGGGAACTTGACGGTGGGGCCGGGGGTGCCGCTGCCGCCGCCGGTGACCTTGACTTGAGCGCAACTATCATGTGTTAGCTGATGTTGTGATGGAAGTAATGAAGAGAAGAACTCACGCGTAGTAGAACTCAGCCTGGCCGTCATGGGCACCGTGAAGACCAACGTGCTCAGAGCGGATCAAGTACTCTCCCTCTGGCACTTCAGCCGGGACAGTGAACTCGATCTTGTTGCTATCCCAGGTGCACCAAGCATCACCAAGAATGTCCTTGTCGGGGTGGCAAAGACCAGACTCGAAGATCTTGAACCACTCGCCGTCACCCTCGTACTCCTTAACGGAGCTGGGCGCCTTGGACATGTAGACGAAAGCGGGGCCGGGGTGCTTCATGGTAGCGCCGTAGGCAAGCTTCATGGCCATCTTGGTGCCGGCTGCGACCTCCTTGACGCCGGTCTTGCCAGCGCTGGCGAAAGAGCCCTTGTTGCAGCGGAAGTCGTCCATGTCGGGGGTCATGTTGTCGAGGGGGTTCTTCCACTTGGTGGGGTTGAACTTCTCCGCACGAGTGTTCTCGCGGATGAACTCGTAGCCCTTGGACTCCTGGCCGTCGGTGACGAGGACATCGAAGGTGTAGTGGGCAGAGGCGATCTGCGCAACGGCAGCTGCGGCGATGATGGAAAGCTTCATGTTTGAGGTGGGTAGTGGTGGTTGGTTTGGTGTTTGGTAGTGGGTTGGAAGATGAAGAACGATTGTATAGTAGGACTAGCCTGTAGAAACGAATGTAGTAGCGAAAAGCTGAAGAGAAGCGAAAGACAGTGTGCAAAAGTGTGCTGATGAGCTCTCTATCGTGGTGGTGTTTTGCTTCTTATGTATCTGAGCATGCGTTCCTATCTGAGCGCTGTGGTCAATGTCGCTAACCGTTTCCAGTGACCAGAGCTGGTCTTTCCACCCATCCCTTGCAAACCACTCTTCGCCGACGTTGGTTTGCACCATGAAACAATGCCTCAGGCGTTTCCCTCCATCGACGCATGAGGCCGAGATGTCTTGGCTGTGGCCGTATTTCCGCTATCCCGCACAGCTGTGGCGAAGCGAGATGACCATACGAAGGGATGAGAGCTGTCATTGTGGTATTGACCCCCGTAGCGCCCGCTTTTTCAATCCTGGGAACCGCGGTGGTGGGCCTGTCACCATACTGGTGCCTGTTTCAAACCATTATCTTGGCAGTAGGAGACTTGGCGGTCGGAGGTCTCGTCAGTTGGAGAGGTGCAGGTACCATGCTCGACGGAGCTTCGCTGCCGGTGCAGATTATGCATAGAAGTACGGGAATATGTGAGTAGACTCCAAAATATAGTCAATAGTGGATTTAACCTCGTGAAAGATTCGTAGAATGCTGTTGTCATCAGTGTTGTAATGTCTCTTTCCACTTCCAATGTCTCAGCGCATGAAAACGCAGCAAGATTATTTCTCCGCCTCTTCAACGTGAAACGAGTAATGACGGAAAGGGGGGGCACGGCGGGATCGCACATGCTGAAGGACGTGATGATCGGGATCCAGACACAACCAGACTGCAAGCCCACTCGCGTCTGAGTTCGGGTGAGCTACTACCTACCATCTAGCGCTCGCTGTGCTCGTACCCACTGTGCCAAACATAGAGACTGCATACGGGTCTCGGAGGTAGAGCGGCTACCGAAGTCTGTGTGGTAGTCGAGCAGAGCAATTCCAAGGCAAGACTCACAGATGGTAACGGTCTACACCATTATATATAACGGCCACAGTCAATTGAGCCTGTTGTTGCGCTTATTTGAGCTGTTAAGACTCAATTTACACGATGAAGGCGTGCATCCAGGCTGGTGGGCTCGCGTGATGGAGCACTCCTGAGTCAGTAGTGGTTCACTTCAACCTGCACTTTAGCCGAAGGCCTATCACGAACGACCCTTTTCCGATGTATCCACACCGCAATCTCTGGTGGAGAGACAAGCTGTAGCGTGTTTCTGTTTCCGCCTGTGGCTTGTTTCAAACGTTGGTGTTGTTGCGGAATGCTACCGAGTGTGACCGCATAAGTTCAATCCTGTTGTTTCTTGACGCCATGGTGGGGAAGCCTGCAAACGACGAAGGAAGGCGCCTCAAGAGGTTGGCAATAACATCGTGCATAGGCTTGTATTGGCGCATAACAGCAGTTATCTCGTCGTCGGTCGGCGGCTCGAACTACCGAGAGCGTTGGGCTCTGCATAGTATACCGGATTAGGTCCGATGGGATTTCGCTCCACAATCCGATGCAGCAGAGGCATGCTTCCGCAACTACTGTAAGCCAAAGACGAGGGAGGTCCACTGAAGTGCAGTAGCGGTGCGGCGTGATAACTTCTTAGTCTTCTTGGCGTCTGCCCCCTGGGCTCGGGAGTTCTGGAGGGACTCAAAAAAGTTCTCGACTCGTGGCGTGAGGTTCCTTGTCGGCCGTTGAGTCAAACCCGATTTTCTACCGACACCGTTGGGTCTAGCGTGTGAGCCTAATTCGACAATACATTTCTCGTGCTGGATGTGTTGCTGTGAGCCTCTCGTTGTTGTTCAGCAATCGACGCGTTGCGAGGAGATGGTGTTGTGGTAGTGGTTGTGTGTTCACGACGTTGCAAGACGTCCCCGCATCGCCTGACCGTCATACGTCATCACTAGCAAATCATGTGGCATTGTTTCCCTGCATGTCTTTGATCCGCAATGCACGACAAACGCTTTTTGCAAACTTTAGACGTGGGAAAGACATGAGATCGTTGTTCTTGACATTCCAGTATCCAACTTCTATCCTTTCCCACCCGTAGAATAATTGGCGGGCCGTCATCGCAACGACGCCCGAGACAGTACCCCAAGCATCGATCAACATGTCAGCAACCAACGAGCAACCAGTCGAGACACCAGTCAACAAACTCAACGCAAAGCAGCAGAACCGAATCCAGAAAAGACGACTTGCACGTCAGCAACTCACTACGCACCTCGCTCTCGTACGGAAGAACAGCAAAACAAACGACCCTCCACGGATCGCAGGATGCATGCGCGCACCGCGAGGCCCAGACGGCCGCTTCCTCCACCGCGAACACGTCATCACAAAAGCAATAGAAAGTCTCAGCATACAAGAGACGACAGCAAAGCCTGTAGAAAGTGTGAATGAGAAGCCAAAATCCTGGACGCCATGGGTAGTCCCGTCTCTCTCCAAGACACCAAAAGCTTCCCGACTTTAGCTTCATACAAGACTGGGGAGTACTTCAGATCCCCAGCACCCAACCGTGTGAACACCGTGGACGCACTGGATACCTCCCCGCTCCCTCATTCCCTCACAGAACGAAGCCATCATGCTCCCTGTCAGCTTCTTCCTGCGCCCTGCCAATCGGATCGTCGGCATAAACCACTTTCACCTCCCACATACTGCTCGCGTTCATACCGATCAAGATACCCCCTCCTTTAGTCCCTTTCTCCCATCTCTTGGTTTGCTTCACGTCCTCTGTATCGAGGAGTAAGACGGTGAAGATATGTTCAGCGTCTCCCTTTGCATCAGCGCGGTCGACGTAAGAGGCGTGAAGCTTGGTTGTAGCCGCGTATCCTTTTGGCTTGGAAGCCTCGAATTTCGAAGACAAGGAGGTAGAGGAATGGTGTTCGGCATGGGCAAGAGGGCCGGCGGAGACGATGGTGTAGACAGGCGCAGGCAGGATATCGAAGACGTCTTTGTTAATTTCGCGAGTTATCTTCAGTATAGTGTAGACGCCGCGTTGGCCCTCAACAATGAATGTGTCGAAGCCTTTTTCCAAGAACTCTTCATCAACCTCCTTCTCTTCATCTTCGTCATCTTCAAACAGGAAGTCGTCGTTTGGCTTCTCTTTTATGACGGCAAGCTTGTCGATTGCGGGAGGTGAGTTGCTGACAACGTCTTCAATTTGAGGAAGGAGGTGGCGGAATGCTTTCGCAGGGCCGGTGAGTTCGTAAGAATCGATGTGTGGTCGGATGATGCTCAAGTACCAGATTGTGTTGGGTTCGACGTCGATGAAGGCGAGCTCATCGACTGGCTTGTCGACTTTGGGAGCGGGGATTGGAGTGGATTTGTTGAAGGGCATGACTTCATCGTCACCTTCAAAGTAGATGCCTTTGTCCATGGTGAGATGTAGGGAAAGTCGAGGACCTGTGATATCGTCGAGTATCGTAATGTCGGTGCTAAGGCAATGTACTCGGGGGCGGTACTTGAGAGGTTTATGAAGGTGAGAGGGATGGGCAATGTATACTGTAAGAGCAAGCACGGACGTTATAGCCTGCGAGCGTTTGTTAGATGACGTCGTCGCTTGTGGTTTGCGGTGTCGCGGTGAAGGCAGGACTGGAGCCTGGAGCTATCGGGCTCCAGTATGGGGCGCCGACAGACCGATACAAACAATCTTGTATACCGCCACGGGGGTTGATGGCGTGCGATATCGCCTAGACAAGGCGGTATGTAGGCGCCAACTCTCTCATCTGGAATCGAGGAACGATATATCAGCGGCAGTTCGAAGTGACTCCAGACGATCGTAGGATTGTGCATTGGTATCTCCTAGCAAAGTAAGACATTCCGCCTCTTAGAATACATAGTGTGCTTTTAGACTCAGTCCCTGAACGCCAGAGCGCCATACGCATGCAGAACGTGACATGTGATTGTCACTCAGCCTTCCATATGACTACACCGCCTAGTGTCTCTTCGCCCTCTTATCCTTGCCAGGCCGTTTGCTTACACCGCCGCTGGGCTTGCCCTTCATCCTTCGAGCCGAGAAACCGCTCCCGTCTGCGCTGGATTCGGCGGTGTTACTCTTCGCGTGACGCTTCTTGCCACCGAAGCCGTACTTCGAGTCCTTCTTCTGGCGCTTGTTGAAGTCCTTGCCGCCAGCACCACCGCGACTGCGGCGCTCGGACTTGTCGTCATCAGCGGTAGCGGCGACGTCGAAGAGGTCTTCCTCGTGGGTAGCTGTGATGTCGGCTCCTTGTCGCTCTGCATGTTTGTCAGTATACTGTCGTTCAAGTTCTCAGATATGGGTACAACATACTCCTCTTGAGAGTCTGGATCTTCTCAATGGTGTCCTTCTTCTCCTTTGCGCGCTCCTGCAGCTTCGCGACCTGAACCTGCTTTCCGAACTTCTTCAAGTCTCTCTGCTTGCGTGCCTCAGCAGCAGCCTTCTTGCCTGCCGCGGCATCAATCAGCTTCTGCTTGATCTTGCCCATGTGCTCGTCGCTCTTGACCATCTCGGCGAAGTAGTCGGCTGGCCGAGAGAACGACACACCCTCTTTCTTCAGCTTCTTCCGCGCATCCTTGACCGAGGACAGGCATTGCTTGTAGAAGGCGAGCTCACGGTTGAGGTCGTCCTCGACGTCGGCGATCTCGACAGGCTCGTCGGTAGTTACCGACTGGTATTCCGAGAAGGCGAGTTTCGAGTAGGGGAGTTGGATGCGGTTCAAGGCTGCGGTGAGGGCGGCGGTGTTGTTGATGGTAAGGCGCTGGTGCGGGATAATGTCACCCTTGTCCTCTGAAGCGACGGAGTCCAGATCGGATAGCGCAATGTCATCCTCGTCCTCGTCCTCATCCTCGTCATCTTCAGCGTCTTCATCCTCCTCTGCGGCCTCATCAGCCTGTATCTCCTCCTCGTCTGAGCTGATGTCGCTATCGGTGTCGTTGAGGTGGTCAAGGTCTACTTGAAGTCCATTGAGCGCGTCTTCATCTTCGCTTGCGTCGTCGTCGTCATCTTCGCCCTCAGTCTCCCACTCGGGCTCCTTGACTGCTGGCGCAGCCTTTGCGTCGGCCTTCTTGTCCTTCTTCGACTTCTTTGTCTTGCCATTGACCTTCACCTCTACCTCATCCAGCGGCACGGGTACGCCGCCCTCCTCGGTATCCTTTTCGCCCTCCTCCGCGGCCTTCCTGGCCTCGCGCTTTTCCTTGCGCTTCAGCGCCTGCTTGACGTACTTCTTCTGCTTCTCGCGCTTGATGTCGCGGCCCTGGTAGTTGTCGAGCGCCGACTTGAGCACGCCTTTCTTCGCCATGTCGTCTGAGTTTTATGAGGTTCTGGAGGGTGTGGAGTATTGGACGTCGCAAAAGACAAGACGTCAAAGCTTCCCAGAAAATAATTCGTGAACTTCCAAGTCTGGGCGCAGAAACATGTTAGCGCGCACGCTAGCTTCACCGCCTACGAAACGGGCAGGAAGCCGCGGCGAAGACCACGTGCTCCGCGACCTTACATATCCACCGTATGCGCATCTCTTCTGTTGTATAATAGCAGACCGCTTGACGATCGCCTTGTGAGGTGCTGAGATCGTCCCACATTCGCAGACTACTCGTATCGTTCTCTACTTTCCTCACAAACACGTTCAGTCATGGCGACACCGCAGCCGCTAGCAGACCGCGCGCAAAGCGATACTGCGGTACGTGCTTGTTACACTCACGATGCCCCGCTCCACCTAACACGCGCATAGTCGGCCGTCTCCAAAGATGCAGAGAGTTCTGGAGAGCTTACAGCAGTTGTCGACGATCTCCTGAATCAACTCAACACCAAGTTCACCACAGTCAGCAGTGAGCTGCTTGCTAAAAGTGAGTACAAGCATGTCTACAGCAAATACACTAGATGCTGACGAGGCGTAGTGGATGACATGTCACGGCGGCTGGATAACCTCGAAGCAACTATCCAGGCTGGAGACGGTACCAAGGGCTCAGGGTCTGGCAAGTAGATTTACAAGGAAGGCATCATGTTTGGTCAAAAGCGGGCGGTGTACTTCGCGCATGTCTCGGTCATTGGCGTTCGGTGTTAAATTACATAGATCGTATGCAATCTGGGTATTGACTTTTGGCTCTCTACTACTTGTTCCTCTTTCTCATTGTCATGATCACGTATGCCTGTCGCTCCTGCGCCAAGGCCTCTTTGCGCCCCCAGCTCATCTTATCATCTTAATAGTGTTGATGGTATGCCTCATTGCGAAATCTTACTTCACGCATGGGTCGTCTACAACTCAGACTTCTCCTCCTCAGCATCACCCATGAACTTCCTCAGAATGTTGCTCCTGCTCATCAAGTCATCCATCTTCTCGGGCGCCAGGTTGCCCTTGGCAATGAGTCCCTGCAGACGCTTGAGCTCCTTCGCAGCATACTCCTGGTTGGCACCAATCTTGTTGAAGACCTTGACGTAGTATTCGGCATACTTGTCTTGCAGAGTACCGGCGAGGGTCTTGGCCTCCTCAGCACCACCGGCCCATGAGCCCTGGAACTTCTCAATGAGGGTGTTGAAGGCCTCAATGGTGCCACCAGTGGCGTCAAGACCACCACCAACCGCACGGTGGGTACCGGCGTTGGCGTTGATAAAGTCGATGAAGTCCTTCTCGGCGCGGGCGCCGTTGTAGGGGAGAGGCTCGGTGGAGCCCTTGGGGAAGTATTTGATGGTCGGGTAGGATGACACGCCTTGCTCCTGTGCGAGGGCCTTGGAGTTTTCAGCTTCAGCGTCGACCTTGGCAATCAAGACACCGGGTTCGGTAACGAAGTCGTTGGCGAGGGTCTCCCAGACGGGGGCGAGAGTCTTGCAGTCTGCCAGGTGTTAGCTATGAACAATCGACAGAGAAGAGGTCAGCATGACATACGTCCGCACCATGGGGCAGTAAAGGCAACGAGCACATCCTGGTCCTTTCCAACCTTCTCCTTGAAGGTCTTGTCGTCCAAGTAGACGACCTGGCTAGGCAGCTTGCCCTTGACCTTGGGCTTGACCGAGCTCTTCTCTGTGATGAACTTGCTCAAGCTCTCGAGGTCACGTCCGCCGCTGTAATCCGTAGGCTTGTCGCTCTTTCCGTCGAACCACTTGAGGGTAGGGAAGCCTGAGACACCGAAACGCTTGCCGAGCGCCTTGTGAGCATCAGCATCGACCTTTGCGACGCTGACCTTGTCTCCGGCGTGCTGGAAGACGCCAGCGAGCTCATCGTAGACGGGGGCGAGGTTCTTGCAGTGGCCGCACCAGGGAGCGAAGAACTCTACGAGGGCGGGCTTGCCGGACTTAAGAACGACATCGTCGAAGTTGGAGGGTGTGAGGTCGATGACGGCCGATGCCGAGGCAATTGCGGGCAGCAGCGCAATGGCCGCGGGTATTAAATTGCGGAAAAGCATCTTGAAAGTGTATGAAGCTCAAGGATGAGTTGAAGCTCCAAATATGTGTTGAAGAGCGGTGGGAAATCTGGTGGGGAGCTAGAGCAGCACAGCGGCTATCAGGGTCCGCGGTGGCGATCGCTAGTCTGAAAGGTGTCCTTAGCGGTCTCAACTTTACAAATCCAACACCAACGCGACGGGATGACGTACACTGGATAGTGATCACTCATACTAATCACGGTCTTAGTCGTATATACAGCTGTTGATAAATATTTTATACTACAACATGCATTCAATTCCTGGGTATCACAAAGACATCGCCCTCCAGACCTGCAGGTGGCCATCACCTCCCAGACCCTCCAGATCTAATGCAACGACATCTTCCAATTGTTCCCCCCAGTCATCCCATAGCTACCACTAACCGTCTTCTCCTCTTCGCTCTTCTTTTCTTCTGTGACCTCTGGCTTGGCCTCTGCCTTCTTTGCCTCTACCTTCTCCTCCTTAACCTTCCCGAGCTCACCAGCAACCTTCTCCACAGCAGCCTTCAGCGCCCTCACATCCGCGCCCCTGATCTCCTCAATCTTCTTTCCATCCTTGAAGACCATGAACGTAGGCATAGCCGTGACACCATATTGCCCCGCGATCTCCCTTTGCTCATCCACATTGACCTTTACGAATGCGAATCTCCCTGGTGAGGTGTGTGCTGTGGAGAGTTGGTTGTAGATGGGCGCGATTTGCTTGCAAGGTGGACACCATGTTGCGTAGAAGTCGGCGATGAGATAGGTGTGGCCGTTCAAAAGAGTGCGGAAGTGTAGAGGTGCTGAGATCTCTGTTGGCATGGTTGATCTTGGGGTATTTGTTGAAGCGGCGTGCTGAGAAGATGTGTCAAGTGATTTGAGTGTGGTGTCTTAAGTACTGAAGGACTGTTGAAAGGCGGTTGTAGTGTATTGAAGCTGTCGTAAAATCCAGGCTGCACTTTTGTATTTGTTCGATTACGATGGCGCGACCTTGTGGAATGTTCTTTCCAATCAATGCGCCATACCACGAATGGTCTGGCCAATCAGCATTTGTCATCAGCTTCACGATCACGTGTCGGTGCGCTTGCCGCATCCGGTAGTCGGTGATAGCAGTTCTGCGCGGGAGAGGCTATGTATATGCTGGCGCAATGCGTATACGGGATTTTTGAGCGGAGTCATCAGTCATGCAGATGGGAGGGCCTGTCCTGAACAGATGGATAGTCTCGCGGAGGTTGATTCGACAGTGCAATGATGTACATGCTGATAGCAGTCTTGAATTCCAGAAAGTCCACAACGCCTCGCTATGCCATCATGAGCACTTGAACCCAGCTGCTTTTCAAGAATTGAATGACCCTTCAAAGCTCAGCCCCCTCCCCTGCCCAGTATCTCCTCCCTCTCCAACACCTCGGGCTTGAACTTGATCAGAAAGACCGTCTTGCCCGGCCACAGACCCTTGCCCTCTTCATCGCCCACACTATGCGCTGTCACACCCTCAGTTGGGAACCCCGCACCGTCGCACACACCCTCAATTATGCCCGCAACAAAGGCCGCGCAGTTCAAACTCGACAGTTCTTTGGGCAGACTTATGTATTGGTTGACCATGGGGTCGTTGTCGAAGAGCATGTACTGACCTGGGTCGGTGCCAGACTTTTCTAATGCATCGGCAGGTCGACCGAATAGGTAGCGGTATAGTTGTTGGGCGATGAACTGGAGGAGAGGTAGGATACGCGTGGGTCGGATGCTCGCGAGGGGGTTGGCGGTACGTGAGAGGAGGAGGTCGAGTAAGCGGAGGCCAATGGGGTAGCCTTGTGTATTCAGTCTAGATGTTGTCAGAACACGTTCAGCTGGAAACCCAATGCGGTATGTCGCAGTGCATATGCAAAGCTCCGCAACCGCGTGTGTCTAGCATACCTCTGCTCCAAGTCCCCCACATCCTTCGCGCCCTTCTGCGCATATGCAATCATCTCAATGAAGAGGTACGCAAACGCCGCCCTACTAAGCTCCGCATTCTTACTCCGGTTCAGATTCCTGTCGTATATGCTCTTTTTGTTCGACGGGTACCGCAGCCCAGGCCCTTGGCTTGGGGTGCCGCTCATCGCGATGTGCTGCCCTTGTGGTTGCGATTGTGTGCCGTGTTGCGGACGGATCGTGGCTGCAGAGGAGGATGTTGATGGCTTTTGCGCAGTGTCTACGGATCGAGAGAGGGACGACTGGCGCGAGGGGTAGTACGAGTGGTGTAGGGGCAGGATATTGGACATGGTCGCTATTGAACCCTGGCGATGTTGTTTGGCGGAGTGATGTGGGTCGGAGGGTCGTGCGTCGTGCGTCAGACCTGCCGCGGGTCGAGGATGCTAGGGATCATCTTCGGTGCTTAGCTAACATACAACTTTCACAATACAACAACTCTCGAAATTCTCAACCACTTCTACCCGGCGTTTTTGGAAGCGTCCTTTGCTGACTACGTTGGAACGAAAACCCCAGCGCCTGAGCCTATGAGATTGCCATTGATGCAGCCAATCCTCGGCACCGTGCCGCATCATTCAGTGGTTCGGGGGAGGAAGAGGAAGAGTGATAACGTGGTGCAGAAATACAACAGGGGTACCGCAGTCTACATTAGTACAGGAACAAGAGTTTAGCGGGTCTGACAGCAGTCTTTAGTATTCACTATAGGGTGGCGTGCTCTTCGATGCTACGTATCAAAATGGAGCGGCGGAGAGGTATAAAGCCACCATCCCCAACATCTACATTTCTCCGTTGTGTCGTGCTTCAGCATGACGACAAACTGCCTGGACTCCGCGCTTCGATCGCCACCCATCGTGCTCAGCAGCAGTTTCCATGTAACCATCAGGCATCTCAACCATGTCTCCATTCAACTTCTCGAGCTTCTTCTTCTCGTCATCCACACCCTCCGAGCCGACGACTTTGCGTACCTCGCCAGTCGATGCCTTCTTCCAGTCCTTGTACCACTCTTTGAACCTTTCCGTGAGATTCATCTGGTGCCACTGAAGGATTCTCATCATAGGTTGTACATCGGTGCGGCGGATATCGAACTGGATGGGGATGACGGCGAGGGTATTGTTCGGGTCCGCAGCCACATCGCGCATGTGAGATGCACCAGACTGCTCGACCTCAAGCTCCGCGCGCAGATCACCGTTGAGCTTTCTCTGTTGCTGTAGTGCAGCCAAAGCATCACCGCGTTCCTTCTTCATCCTGCGTTCGGATGCGAGGTGGCGTTGCTTATCACCTTGAGCGTCTTTGGCTTTCTCTTCCTCCTTCCCCGCCATGTCCTTAGCATTCTTCACCTTCTTGTTGGCACCCTTCAGTTTTCGTGTCTTTCCATCGTTCTGATTGCCCAGATTGACATTCTCGTACTCGATGGTCTTGAGCGTGTCTTTCAGCTGCGTGTTTTCGGATTGCAGGCGCGTGACCTCGCTTTCAAGGCGATTGAGACGGCGTACGGTGTCAGTTGGAAGATCAGATCCAGCAGCGGTTTTGGCAGTCCTTCGATCTAGATCGTCGATGGTCTTGCCTCGTTCCTCAGCCTGCTCTTTCCAGTATTCGCATTGCTGACTCAAGGTTGCGATGGTAGTCCTCAGACGGGTCTCTTCACCGTGTTTCGCCTCCTGTTCTTCATCGACTACGTTCTCGTGCCAGAGGCCACCGGCGGACTCTGTAGTAGACGCTTTGGATACTGACAGACTAAGCGACAACGTCCCGGAACGCAAGTCATCAGGGTCGTGGAAGAGTGCGTCCAGATTGAAGCTCATCTATTGTGGGTTAGTATGAGGTCAGGCCTAGCTGTTCTTCAGCTTACCTTGGATTGTACTCAGGTGGCTACACCATCTCGACGCGAAGAAAGCGACGATTTGAGGTTGCAACGTAGTTGTCACGCCAAGCATTTAGTCCCTGGCGAGGTGAAAGCCAAACAAGACGAAACGGGAAGGCGCGCTGGTCACCGCTTCACCGTAAGGCATCCTCTGGTCCGATCACTCAATTCTCAATTGCTCTATAACAGCTGCAAGTTCTCTCACTCGGAACGGCTTCGGAACCGCGTCGTCCATTCCAGTCTCTCTCGCACGCTTCAGTTGCTCGGGTCTTGCATTCGCGGTGACAGCGATGATATGAAGGTGCTTATCGATCGACCCGTCTTCCTGCGCGGCGCGAATCATACTTGCGCACTCAAGCCCATTGACAATGGGCATCTCAATGTCCATGAGGATGACGTCGATACGTGGCTCGTTGACACGTGGTTGCGACGAAGTCGAGCCTTTCCAGTGTTGCGTGGTCTGAATGAAGTCGAAAGCTTCCTGTCCGTTGTCGGCTGTGTGAACGATATACCCCTGGAGTTGTAGTTGTTTCTTGAGCACCCGTTGGTTGACCATGTTGTCCTCCACAAGCAGGATGCTAGACTGGACTGCTGGCGGTGCATCATCAGCGGTGCTCATAGCGTGAGGCAGCGACGAGGTCGATCCTTCGGATGTGATCGATTTTTCGGAGCTCCTGGTAGATAGAGACGGCCTCGGTGGTAGAGCCCTCGATGCTTTAGTGTAGAAAGCAAACGTAGATCCGATGTGTTGCTGAGACTGGAAGCCAATCTCGCCACCCATCAAGGCCACCAGTTTCTTGCTGATGGATAAACCCAGTCCGGAACCACCGTACTTACTGTATGTCTTTGGCATATTCTGGGTGAACTGGCTGAAGACGCGCGCTTTGGTCGATTCATCCATTCCGCACCCTGTATCTTCAACTTTGAACCACAGAAAGATGGACCCTTCCTCTGGTTCCGATTGGTCTACTGATCCCGTCTTTTGCACTGCTTTGATGAGACCATCGAAGATAGCAGTAGGTGGCCATGACGCTACTCCAATACGAACGGTAACAGCTCTTTCGTCGGATTTATCTTTGGTGAATTTGATCGCATTGGCGACCATGTTGAACAACACCTGCGTCACTCTGCCCGGATCAGCATCGATCCAGTCAACGCCGAGTTCGGTCAATGAAGGATCGGCTACAGCTACAAGCTGGACACCAGCTTGCTCAGCCTCGGCCTTGAAAGTATTCTCGACCTGACCCAAGAAGCTCTTGACTTGGAACACCGTTGGACAGATCTCAAGCAAATCCGAATCCAGTTTAGAGAGCGAAAGAATATCATCGATGATTCGTTTCTGATGCATAGTGCATGCCATGATCGTCTCGACAGCGTCGCTCATGCTGCTGTTGAGATTGCGCAAGTCGTCGGCCGAGCGGGAGCTTTCGTTGTCTGGTGTACTTCGGTTCTCGCACTGGTTCAGGAGAAGCTTCACTTCGGAGAGCGACTGAGCTATTGAATCCGCGCAATGCATGACAGCACTGAGAGGATTCCGAATCTGCGGTACGTTAGGCTATGCAACAACCGGTCTGATCTCCAAAGCGTACTTCATGGCTCACCATGTCAACGAAGCTTCAATCCATTAGTCAAGAAAGCATACCATAAGTAGGTTCACACTTACTTTTCTTGTTGCCTCTTGGCTTCTACAGCTTGTTGCAGCCGCGATTCGCTAAGATGAAGCTGCTCCAAAGCTGCTACGCGCGCAAGCTCTTGTTGTTTCAGAGCTTCTTCCTTGGTGGAAACATCCTCTTCTCTAGCAATGCGTTCTTTGCGGATCCTCTCAGTACGGCTCCTTGCTTCAGCGTTTGCCATCGAGATCACCTCGTGGGAGAAGTCACGATGGAGCGTCTTGATCCATGCTTGATAGGGGCGATCGTAAGGTGTACGAGGTGCCAAACCGACGATCAAGGCAGCATGAACATTGGCAGTCCGGTTCGAAACACTTGGCAAGATGACAGCCTGGTGGCACACATCGCCATAGCATCGACTCGTAGAAGCCTCACACATTTCCTGGGGGAGTGTACCGTTCTCAGCCTGGAGGAGTACCGGTGTACGAGTATTGACACTCCTGTAAAAGGCGTCAACCCATCCTTGATCCATGGTTGGCTCGAGTGTTGGAGGAGGCGCGGTCGGGAAGGAGCCAACAGTACCAGAGAGAACGAAGGTCGTTGTACGAGCCTGCTCCTCAGAAGAAGCGGTCTCTTTATCATGTTCTCCAGTCGTCTCTGCGCGGTATAACGCGGCAAACGATATGTCTCCGTCTCCATTGGATATGCCTTTCAAGATCGAGGGCCACAGCGTACCCAGATCCATGGCAGTCTCGCAGGAACTGCGAAATTCGTCCAAAGAATGCTCACGACGAGATTCCAGCATATCTCGGGTGACGTTGTAGGTTGTGGCATGGGATCCGCCCAGGGACGGCGGTAGACCCGTTGTGGTGATGGACAAGAACACTTCTTCGAGGCGGCCATGCCGGGAGAAAAAGAAGGGTACTTTTTGCTCGCCATGAAGATCCGACTTTGCTCTTAGGCACTTGCCAAGTTTATCGACCAAGGGCAGTTGTTGAACCAAAGCTGTGTTTAGGCTTATAGGCCGTCCTTGGTACTGCGGATGATGGTCGTACAACAGTCGGCCGTATGCTGTGTTGTAAAGAACGGTCGAATCGGAGCCAAGCAGGAAAATCTGCGGTTGAGGGGAGATCATGGCGATGTGGATGAGCAACAACAGCTCGCGAGGCCACGATGAAATGAGTCCGACGGCAGTTTTGGCCCAGTCCAAATCCCGAATGTATTGCAAATCGGCATCAATGGCTGGATCGCCGGTCGACTTCGTGAGAAAAGAGAGGTGAGACTGCTCAAGCTCTACCGCCATAGCAATGCCGATAGCGTGTCGACCCAAGAGAAAGATGTTATGGTACGGAGTTGCGGGCTGCTGCACCAGTACAGATCTCAGCCACATCTCATTGTTGATTCCCGTCCCGGAGTAAACGGCTCCAGGAGTGGCAAGCCAGACGTCTGGTGGGAATCTAGACCGCGTAGGCCATGCAACTGCCCTGTCCAAAGTCTAGACCATCGAGCCCATGGACCCTTACACTGTTCGCTGGGACATGCCGCTCCATGGCAAAGCGGGACGCACAACTGATGAGTATGTAGCTGCAGATGTGTTGCGAGTATGCGGGCGACAGTCTCGCATTGCCATGTAAATGGTGCCCCGGAGCGCCGACACTGAACGCAGCGAGCTGAGCACCATTCTGAAAATCATCCGCAGCAACTGCCGGGAGCATCGATGCGAAAGGCGCACCTAAGTAGCCAGCGAGAACAGAGTCTAGCATAGATGAGGGATGTATGTGGTGCATTCTGACATGCATTGCTCGCTTGTCAAGCTTCAATCAAACTTCGATGTGGCCAGATCTCTGTTCGAGATATAGCCTAGCCGAACGTGGCTAGCACATGCATCCCATCTGCCCAGGTGCGCTCGGGACTATCTTGCCGCCCGTTGTTTTTCAGCCACAACTGCCCAGGGGGCCTCTCTTTGCATTTCGGCAGACGCGACAAGTTGTTCCAGCCAAGCGTCGTTCAAAAGGAGTTTCAAAAGCCATCTGCCTGGCTTCCGACCGGATTTGCGCCAGTGGTGGCTTCGATAGTTGCCGGAACTCCGCAGATGGGCAGAAGCCTAAGCACACCTAGATTAGCGCGACCACTGGTTTCTTCACACTACGGATTGTGCCTTGGAGAGAGATTTCATTCGTCCAACAGCGGGATAGACCCTAAGCTCGAAAGTTGAACCTCCGCTTCGCTTGACCATCTCAGCAAAGAAGATCTCGAATACGGAGCCCAAAAGGTTCGCAGTGTGAGAGGAAGCGCTACCTAGAAGACGCCTGCGAAACTGCACAACGAAAACCTCAGGCGCGCAACCCAAAATCATTTATGGGTTTTAGCTACGAATGGGCTGATGCATCACGGCCTCGCTGGACGCCGGTCGTCCTTTGGTAAATCGTTGGACGCAAGAAGCACACAGGCAGCGACTCATGGACTCACGTTTGGCAGATCCGGCTACTCCACCACTGTGTTCAAGTCACTTCCACCCTGCCTGGTCTGTCGCCTGATCACACGTACCGTTATTACATCCAGAATTATATGTAGCCGTAGCGCCTAGTCACGCAGTGTGAGTAAAGTCACGACCTCGGGATGGATGGGGTCGACGGACGGCACGTGCGGGTCGATGCCTGTTTTGGCGAGAACCCCTGTAGTTCGCACCGCCTACATTGCGACTTCTTTCATCACGCATGCGCCACCCCCATTACGACGTCGCTGAATATCGACACTCGAATCCTCCTATTCTGTGTTTGTTGTATCAGGCAGACGCGCCGATCACGTCACGCATGTACAGCTAATGTGGCTGTGGGAAGGACCTGGACGGCCCTCAGCCACCAGTCGATTTATGTGGCCTCGAAGACTCAATGTACTTCAAGATGATTACAATTAAGCTTTCCAGACTTCTCTTTTACTTCGTGTAAGCATGGCTGTACTTACCTCAACCTTCCTCGTTCCGTGGAATGCAACCAACTTGTGTGCCACCTGCCGCCTAGTCGCGAAACATGACACGACACAACGGTACTACGCGAAACCTCTGAAGATAGCGGCTACCCGAGGCTGTGCTCTCTGTAGATACCTCTATGAGGAGCTTGTAGTTGGTTTCTTGGGACGCTCCGTTGAAGACGCCCATCTTGAAGTAGCTCGGCATGGACCATGTCTAGCAGTAATCGACTTTAGCAACACATTGCATCGGTTCGAGATATTCACTGAGCGTAGGTAGCAGCGATACGAAGTTACCGATAAGAGGCTGACACTGAACAGGCAAGCTCCCGAGCAACCAAACGTTCTTCAGACGGATCCACTCGCATGCCGATTCCGAACCGTGCTGGGATTTGATACATACATGGCTCGACAGGTGCACATCCACTCATGCATGCTGTCATCAAGAAGAATCACCGTCGATGCCAAACATACTGCTGAACGTGGAGACGTTGAAGCTGGTATATGGATCGTCCTGTAGAGGCGACAAGCGTTATGCCGCACTCAGCCACTGCTGGGGCGCTGCCGGTACTATGTCAGCCACCTTAAGAGCAACAGTGGAAGGGTTCAAAACTGGTCTGGACACCCATTACCTCCCGCAAAACTTTCGAGACGCCATCTACGCTACCCGGAGGTTGGGCCTCAAGCTACTTTGGGTCGATGCACTTTGTATCGTGCAAGACGATCGTGCGAGTCGCGACGTAGACATCAGCAATATGGGAAGCTACTACCGAAATGCTTTCGTTACACTCTCTATACTGAGCGCACAAGACTCCCATGTCGGCTTCCTCAAACCTCGAGAGTCAGTATCAACGATCACTATGGGTGAGAACCTTCAGCTTCGTCGAGCGCGGCCCACTTGGAGCGAAGTGCTTCATGAATCGCCACTGAACAAACGAGCATGGGTATTACAGGAGCGATTGCTGTCAAAGAGAGTCGTGCATTTCGAGAAGAACGAGATCTTCTGGGAGTGTCTTGAGACCTCTGCAAGAGAGGGAAGTGTAGAAAAGAACCCAGAAGCATGGCAAGAGGGCGAGTGGTCTAACGAGAGCTTCAAGCGCTGCCTTACTTTCGCCAACAATGCAGCCGTGGGGGAGTTCGGCAGACATGTGCCGGAGAGCGATGCCTTCATGATGCAATGGTACCGCATTGTTTGCCAATACTCTCGGCTGAGTCTCACATACCGTAGCGATATCTTCATGGCGATTGCTGGCATTGCGCAAATATTTCGCGAAGTCACACATTTTACATACCAGGCTGGCTTGTGGACAGAACATGTTCATGCTGGCCTCCTATGGTATGCCGACGGATCGCTCATACCCGTTCGACGGGCTACCGCTGTCTCCAGTCCACCTTCTTGGTCGTGGGCTTCTCTGGATGGCCCAGTAAACATGATCTTCAGTCGCGAATCAAGGGCGATGACCACCCAACTTGCAGCCACGGTGCTTGAACACCAACCTAAGCTCGAGCGAGCCGTTACCTCCTTTGCGCATACTGGGGATGGCGTTCTGATGCTGGAGGCCTATTGCCTCAACATCGTCTGCCGCTCGTGCTCAGACGGAAGCGCGCCATACAGCGACCCTTATCTTCGCATGGTGGTCGATATTTTCGACGAGCGTGGAGTCTGTATCGGTACAGGCTATCATGATCGCATCCCAGAAAGCTGCATTACCCAATGCTTGGCTCTGATCGTATCGCAGAGAGTGGACACAACCTTCAGCAGCACTCCCATTACTTACTTCCTGCTGGTTGTTGAGTCGCACCGCTTTGCGGAGACCCGCTATGAGCGAATAGGCATTGGGCAGACAGCCGATAAGACTTACGGACATGTACTGGACACCTTGAACATCAAGTCTGAGCAGAAGATGAAGGTTACACTCGTCTAAATACACATTCCCAGCATGTTTGTATTTCCTCGTCCTTCATGATGCTTGCGAAAGTTTTCATTCCACGCCTTCATTTGAGTCCACCCTGCGTATACTCTTTCTCTCACCAACAACCCACCGATCAAACAACATACCTTCAATCTTCGGCCCAGGGTGAACATCTAATATCTCATAAAACATCTCATACCCTCTTGGTCTCTCCTCTTTTTCCAGTCTTTCAAGCAGAGCAAAGTCCCTCGGGTGGGGAGTCATCTTGTACTCATTCTCGCGTAGACGGTACCTCAGTACCACTTCTCTAAGATCTGCGAAACCCCCAAGCGACGCATAAAGGCCCTCACAGTGATCGGAATTGCCAACGCCGCTGAACCAAGACGAAGACCATGTATCATCGATAACGATATTTCGGATCCGAGCGAGGCGTTGCGGAAGGACTGTCGACGTGAAAATAGACAGCATCTTGTGATTGTCGAATTTGAACGCGTTATTGGAGTAGAGCACCGGAATGGCCTCGCGGTACCTGCACATTTTGTAAGTCTTCTGCTCAACGAGACTGCTCAAAAGCGAGGAAGAAAACAAACATCTTCTTGCAAGTTCTCAGCATCTCCACGTTGCAGCCCGACGCCGCCTTTATCCTCCAAAGATCCCAAAGTTCCTCGCGATTAAACCTTAACCCCACTTCCTCCTGCTCAGAGAGCACGATCGCATAGATCTGCAGTCTCAACTCCGCAGGCAACTTGGTAAAGAACAAACTTTGCGATTGATATTCCGCATGCTTCCTCCATACCCCCCGGGTGTCATCAACCGAAACACTGCGCTTTCTCTTCTCCAAGGCACGCACGCGTCTCCGATGTTCGATTTTAGCCAAGGCGTCATATCGCCTTTGCTGTGCTGTAGATGGACGGCCGGGGGGACGTTTGACACAGGTCATGGGTTCGATGGATCTGATCCAATAACACAGACCACAGAGAGGGCAAGTGACGAGTTTGCAGCAGAGGCGCAGGGCGGAGCTGGTGTGCCATGTGTATACTATGGCATCTTTGATGGGCTCAAGAATTGGCATCGTGTTGTCTGAATGTTGTGTATGTTGAGATCGGGGGTTGTTGGCTGAAGATATGTGTTGTGGGTGGCCTTGTTTGATCTTGCGAAGGAGGCGGCGCAGTTGGTGGGGTCCGTCCCCTGTCGTGGCTTCGTCAGGCAACCATATCCTTGACGGTGAACACACAGCCCATCTTCCTCCAGATCGTGCTTGGCATATGCTCGATCTTTGCCTGGTTACTAGTGGTGCTATCCGGGGGAAGTGGTGTCATCTGGTATATACATAGCACTAGCCAGGCATGTTGGGTGAACCCGACAGCTACCGTGAAGGTATTCGCAGTATCGCAGATCTCAAGCGCACCACCGCAACTCGCAGCGATTGCCTCCAGGGCAAACTATCAAAGTATGCAGCACGTTTATCACATCACCGTAGACTACACCTCTCGCCAACTTCCCACCTCGTCCAGCCCTCCAGACACCACGTCCTACGATCGTATTCCCGTTCCCGGAACCTCTCTAGCCCCTCCATTGATCCAACAATCTCATACCAAACCTCCACGCCACCCATATCATTCCTTCGTCCCATCTCGTCCAATAACGCAAGCTCGCTTTGTAGCCAATACGGATCGCCACCGGCAGATAAGACCTCGTAGCTCATGACCAGAACCTTCAGCCTCGGCAAAGAAGTGATGATTGTGAAGAAGTCGTCGTATGTACAGTTACGGCGATATCGTTCCTCCTCGGTCTCATAATCGGTTGGGCCGTCAACCGACATTGTGCTTTGGGCGATGGTTATGTGCGTGAGGTTGGCTAAACGCGGTGGTGGAGTGGAGCGGGTGAACATGACGAAGCCACGGTAGGTTTTGAAGCTGAAAGTATTGCCTGAGTAGAGTACGTCAATGGCTTCGCGGTAACTGGTGGAAAAAAAAATCAGCGGGTGTAGATGTAAGTGTGGGGGTATACTAACGTTCTTTTACAGGCACGCAATATGCTTACTGAGCATCCAAGTTCAGCCTTGAACTCGAACACTTCCTTCCTGCCATTAGTGTCTGCCTTTGCCTCTGAATCCACAACAATCATATTCCGTTCGCACAGAACCAACTCATAGATCATCACTCTCAACTCTGCTGGTAATCTACCAAAGAGATTGCTCTGCAATTGCTCCACGGTTTTCTTCCGTCTCGTAAACGGCATCTTGGTGTGCTTCCCGTCCACAGACACACTTCGCTTTCGGTTTGCCACGGCCCGCTCTCGCCGCGCCTGCTTTACCTCGCTCATGACGCGGACGCGCTCTTCTTGTTTTCTTCTCCGATTCCGCCCAGTGCAGTCGCGGAGCCCGGCTGAGCGAGTGCAGTAACAATAGCCCAGACATGGGCATGTGAAGCGCTTTACCCAGCGACGCAGGCGGGCGCTGTCGTTCCAAGCGTATAGGACAGACTCATGGATACAAGTGAGCGGTCGCATCTTTAGCCTAACAGAATTTTGTGATGAGGATTTAAAAAAGTTTGGTTTTTAAATGACCTTGCGGATTGAAATGTTGACGGACGCTGGTGAGGCTGAGCATCGGGTGGCTTTGCGGGGCCCTACAATAGGCAACGACTTCGTACCATGCCGTTTCGAAAGAATGACAAAAGTAAGCGACCTAGAAGTCTACATCGCTTTGGAACTTTGTAGAGACCTGTTTCAATACTCATGTAGTCTGCAATCATCTTTCTAGGTTATTGCTTGTGTACGGCAAAAATGAGGAGAGGGAATGAATGCTCGACACTCTGCGCGATCAAGCGCGACTGCGCATACATGTTGTAGCCAAACTACACTATGCGGCAAGCTCTTCAGGCCGATGGGATACGAAGAAACTGATAATGTGCATACTGAACATTCAGAGCTGTCTGGAGTTTCTACGAAAGGTTTGAAGCTGTTCTTCTCCGAACGGAAGGAGCACAAGAGCCAAGTCGGATCAACAAAGCAAGAGCCCAGCATCCGGGTTACCAAAGTTAGTCATTCCACAATTTCCCCGCCCCCGCAAACCTAGCCTCGCACCAGCTCCACCTGACCCATTCGCATGGCACCACTGGCAGCCGGGTATACGGGACTCACGGAGACATCTCCTGATATCGTGACTATGCCAGCCCCGCTCCCGATGATACCCCAGCGTGCAAGCGGACGCGGCCCTCTTGTGCGAGCCGCGTCGCCTCACGATGCCCGCGATCCGGGCTTGGCCATTCGTCCAGAATCCGCGACATACATAGATATGTAGGGCGGCACGGCGGCAACAGTGGGTACCCTCTTCTAGATCACATGTACACCTGGGGGCTGTGCGCATACGTTCCGTGAAGCGGAACCGAGGTCGCTCCTTTTTAGAGTTGGCAGAGCGGAGGTGCAGATCGTGTCATGTCATCTGCTATCGAAAGCGCATTTGTAAATACGGTCGTTGATCGCGAGGAATCTGAGTTATGGGACTACCGAACTGGGGTGATCAAGACCGGGCTTCTACATTCACCATGCGCGCAGCAAGATACTACGGCAAAGAGGACATCAGGATTGAGGATGTGGATGAGCAGAAGTGCGGGGCGGGACAAGTCAGGGTATGTGTTTGAGGTTTGGGAAGCGCATTGTGCGATGACTGACAGTGTGTAGGTCGCACCGGCCTTCGTAGGCATCTGTGGTACAGATCTCCATGAATACCTCGGAGGACCCAACTTCGCGCCGACGACACCACACCCGTGTACGAACGAAACGATTCCCATCACCCTGGGGCATGAGTTCTCCGGGACTGTGACTGAAGTGGGTTCGGATAACTCGAGCTTTACGGTGGGCCAGAATGTCGTTGTTCAGCCGACAATATATTGTGGCAAATGCGAGGCGTGCAAAGCAGGCTCAGAAAACGTATGCGAAAACGGTGGCTTCATTGGGCTCTCGGGAGGAGGTGGCGGTTTGAGCGATTCAGTCGTTGTGCCTGAAGGCGCAGTACTGAACTTGCCCACCAACGTACCGCTCGACGTCGGCGCGCTGGTGGAGCCACTGGCGGTTGCGTGGCATGCTATCTCAGCTGCCCCACTGACACCCGACTCCGTTGTCATGGTCCTGGGTGGTGGACCGATCGGGCTGGCAATCGTCCAATGTCTCAAGGCCCTGGGTACCAAGAAGATCATCGTGAGCGAGGTGTCGGGCGCGCGGCAACGCTTCGCAAGGGAGTTCGGCGCGCACCACGTCCTCTGCCCCAAAACATACGACGTTGCGAAGATGAGCAAGGCTCTGAGTGGAAAAGATGGACCGGATGTGGTTTTCGACTGCGCTGGCGTTCCCGCAAGTCTCACAACGGCTTGCACGGCGGTGCGCGCTCGAGGGACAGTCGTCAACGTCGCGATTTGGGAGAAGGAAGTTCCGTTTAACCCGAACATGCTCGTGTTCCGGGAGGCGCAGTACACAGCCGTTTTGGGCTACCAAAGAAAGGACCTCGAGGCCGTCATCGAACATCTAGCTGCTGGTAAGTTGTGCGGTGAGCGAGAACTATTACCTCCAGATGCTGACTTGTCTTAGGTACTCTAAAACCCATGAAGATGATTACCAGCAAGATTAGTCTGGAGGATCTGGTAGAAGGCGGGATCAAAGCCCTGATCAACGACAAGGAGAACCATGTCAAGATCCTGGTTGAAGTTGGAGGTATGAGTCGCGTAGATTCTGCCATACACTGAAGTTGTCGTGTCCATATAGATCGAAGATATCCAGTAATGCTATGAGTGTGTTATGGTTGTAAAGCTTGAGTGATGTTTTGCAGTTGACGTATCAAAGCGTGACCATTTGGGTTCGCCCCTGCGCTCCACCTCGGCCCTGGGCAGCTTGCAGGGTCCAGCATGCCGTCACTTCCGCAAAAGTAATCTACGCATCTGGTCAACACCAAACACCCCACTACCTGCTATCATGACTTCGATAGACGCATTAGTTCATGCCTTCATAATTGCCCACATATTTCGATCACCATGCTAACGACAATGTCTTCGCTAACCCTAGACTCAATGGCTTGTTGCCAAGCGCCGTATACGGTGCGGCTGATGCCCATCTGTGGTAACGAGCTTTGTGCGCTGCAGTGTGGTGCCTCTGTAACGACAAGAGAGTGTTTCATGATCGCTTTAGAGTTCACTGATATCACCTTATAGGCCATGTCACAGTATAACTCGATGCCGTCCCCGGGGGTTTACGTTCCCCCATCCCAAGGCTCCCCAGCGCAATCGCAAGGCGTCCAGCAGCCCTCGAGCTATCAGCCCAATGCCACGAACTATGGAGCACAATATCAGTCTCAGAAGGGAGGAGGCACGTTTGGCCAGATGATGAATCAGCGGCTTGAGCAGGCGGTGACAACGGGAAAGCCAATGCTGAACAAGCTGGGCAAGACTATAAGCTCAAAGCTAGGGAACAAGCCTTCGGGAGGCCCACCGCAGCATCTGCAGAGCTATCAGAGTTACCAGACTCACTTTGGGCAGCAGGGCCAGAATCAACCATACCAGCAACCTCACGGTCAGGCTTTCAGTCCTCAGCCGCAACAGCAGCAATGGGCACCACCGCAGCAACAACCCCCACCTCAAGCGCCGAATGCCTACCCACCTCCACAGCCGTCTCCATATCAGCACTCGACCTACTCCACACCGGCTTCCGGCCACTCGGGGCAGAGCAACTACTTCCCATCGCAGACGACGCAAGCGCCCACAACACAATCTCATACGCCGCAGTCGCCGCTCACTACCACGGGACATAATTCCTGGCAAAACGGTCAAGGCGGCGGGATAGCGGAGCATACACAGACACACGGATACAATTGGCAAAACCAGGCGCAGCCGGGTCAGCCTCAGGCGCCTGTCCCGCAACCGACACAGGAATCAAGCCAATACGCTGGACAGCAGATGGGAGTGGTAGGAGGCTACAATGCTGTGCAACATACACCACCACCCCACACTTCTAGTATGTCTCTGGGAATACCCGCCCAGGCCATGCAGCCACAATGGGAACAGGCAGGTAATGGGCAGCAGTCGGGTTCTCAAACACATCCCCCTCAGCAGAACACCACTGCGGCAAGTCCGCCACCTCATTCACAGCAACAGTGGAATAGCCCGTCTTCAGGTGGTGCATATGGCCAAGGACAGTCGCCGATGACTGCTCACTCCGTCAGCCCTCCGCCGACACAGCCGATGACTGCGGCACCTCAAGTGCCATCAAACAAACCTGTACAGTCAAGTCAGTCGTCAACGCCAGCACCGCATCAATCCGGATATTCTGCGCCACACGAGTTCATTGCGGAGCTTCCTGCAGATCTTGGAAACTTGACTATTGCAGAATCGAAGCCCAAGGAACAAGAACCATCGGTCTCAGGCTCGCAATATCAAGCCTTCCACCCTTCGCTATCTCCGACTGGATCGCCATCGCCTGGCTTTACCATTCCTCGGCGGTCGTTTAGTGTCAGCACGATTCCACTGGCTGATCCGTGGAGGTTTGCAGATGCGATCACTGAAGTTCCAACACGCGAGTTCTACATTCTGGCCGATTTGCTTTTCGACGCTCTGGACCGGAAGTTTGAGCCAAAGAACACGGGCCTTCTGGAAGCACCAAAGATCATCGGGAGCTGGGTGAAATTGACCGAAGACGCGTGTCGTGAGTGTCTGAATTGCCGACAGATGATGCAAGACTAATGTGAAGTCAGGTCTTTTTTGCTACAGGTCCTATAGCGCTTTTGCAAAGCTGTGGAGTCTCGAGGGGATCCCCCACATCATGGTGCCCTGCCAATCCAACCTGACACCAAACTGGAACTTTAATCAACATTCACATGCGCAAGGTGCAAAAGTAATCGCTGATGTGTCAACGCCGATGACAACATACACAACGTACATGCCGGCTCTGAACCGGGCGGGATGGTACAAATTCTTCTTTCTTGAGATGATGCACGCGCCAGAAGATATCGGTGATTTGATGGCACTGTGCGCAGACACGTATAAGCCGGGGGTGCTGAACCACCCCGACCTCAACAAGCGGGACAAAATAGAAATGCCAGCACTGCAGGCCAGAGCTGCAGCAATTCAGACATTTGCGATCGGGCGCGTGTGTGAGGAGACGAAGGCTGCGATGGCAGTCGACCCCGATGTTCTTCCGGCGCACACGCACTCTACCGCACCTACCTCTGGACCCACGCAGACTGGGGCAGGTATGACGCCACAGGACATGACGGTGAGCATGCATAAGATCCAGGCAGAGCGGCAGTTGAATGACATGGCAGCCTGGAAGTGGTAGGTTTGCAGGCGAGAGGTTATGGGGAAGGCAGTTTCGTGTAGAATGGGCAAACACAATGCGATGACAGCAATGCCGTGTAACCGTAAACGCTGCGCTGGCCATGGTGCGACGGAATTGAATGCCGATGGCGATGTTTGCCCAGATCTTGTGCTCGAGTGCCCAGAGGGCTAGCAAATTAGTGGGCAGGCGTTGACAGGCGCAAGTTCCAACGTCGGCGCGGGTACCTGCCTTGGTGCCGGTGGCGGTGTGGGTGTACTGTAGAAGGCGCTGTCGCACGCACACGATGCGCTTTCCTGTGTCTCTACCATGCCCTACGTGGACAGCCCTGAGGCTCGTATTGTTCCCCAGGAGTTCTACGGGCGTCATCCCTATAGGGTGCATGGTCGGCCATGTTTCATCTCGGCAAGCGGTTATGATCTCAACGATAAACATGCAATCTACGCATTGACGTCCACGCGTTGGGCCTTGCCCGATTGAGCGTCGATCTGCAGGTACACCTTGCTTGTTGCGCCTTGGGCCTTGCTTTGTGTGGAAGTCGCGCGAGGGTTGCACCAACAAATAATTCTGGCCGGCCTCGCGTCCAGCCTCTTATCTTGCACCCTCCCATCGCCGCTCTTCTGCTATTCTTCACGACTTTGACGCTGCAAGCCCATATCACGAGTATCTTCTATCCCGCACTCTTCATATCATCACGAGTAATACGATACGACATACCCTCCCATACTGTGGGTCTTAGCTTGTCAGGGATCCTCGACCGTCACCATGCGCACTTCCACCATCTTCGCTCCGCTTTTCCTCGCGGCCACTGGCCTCGCCCAGGCCGTCGAGGAGGGCATTGCTCCCGATGCCTCTGCGCCCGAGGGCTGCAAGACGACTGTCACGACGCCCTTCCGAATTGGCACACTCGAGAACCCCAGTCTCAGGAGGCGCGAAACTGCTCAAGAGGTATGCCGCTCCCCTGGACTATTACTCGTAACATCATACTAACATCCCCAACCAGGCATCTGACGGCGACCTCCTCTGCACTCTCGAAGACGGTATCCTCCACGACCAATACGGCCGCACCGGCTCCATCGTCGCCAACCAACAGTTCCAGTTCGATGGCCCTCCCCAGGCAGGCGCAATCTACACAGGCGGCTTCTCAGTCTGCGGCAACGACTCGCTCGCCATAGGAGGCAGCACCCGCTGGTGGCGCTGCATGAGCGGTGCTTTCGGCAACCTGTACGACTCGTGGATTGGCGACCAGTGCCACGAGATCCGCATCCAGGCTCTCTTCGACGAGACTGCCTCGAGCATGAGCAGTGACATGAGCATGTCGATGAGCAGCACCACCTCGAGTGCCCTGTCCGGATCTACTAGCATCATCTCCGCCAGCGAGACCAGCGGCCTCACCAGCGAGAGCAGGAGCATGCACTCCATGTCAACCGGCTCTGCTTTCTCCTCTGCCACACCCTTCTCCAACAGCGCGACTGCCACTGGCTCTGAGGGTGCCGAGGCCAGCGAGACTGGTGACGCCGCAGCTCCTCCTGCCGACGGTGCCGCTTCGTCCATCTCCATGGCTCCTTTCGCCATGGTCGGCGCGTCCATGGTCTTCCTCGGCGCTGCTCTCATTCTCTGAGCATAGCATTACACCACCGAGTTCTTTTGAGAAACCTTCTTCTTATTCCCGCGCATGGCATGTCAGGCTTCACATTACCCCTGCATGTCCACCGCCTCGCCTCGCATTGCATTACTTCCACCGCATGTCTTCCCTGCATTAGCGAGCATGTCGCCGGCGCTTGTTGTTACTCTTCATGTTGATAGCTTGCGAGCGCAATGATTCGATGAGCTAGCTTTGGCGCATTTTTTGTTTATTATGGTTTGATGCAGCGCATGGTGTTTTGATATATACACATTACGCATTCGGCATACCGAGCTTGGGATAGATTCCAGGCCTTAATCATAATACTTTGGAACACTTTGTCTTGAAATTGCTAGTTGATCGTGATGTTGTGTGATGCTGAATTCTTAATCGGGTATGTAGTGTAACAGAGGTATTGTCACATACGCATCTCTCTGGTCTTACACTGAGTGTACTGAGACATAACCGGAAGGTATACATGGCATTGTATCCCACATATTTGATAGTACAGACAATAACATATGCCGCGATAACGAGTGCAGAATACTGATTGAGAGAACCTAATCTCCTTGTAGGCGTCTGAGTCAACACGAATGCCTTTCTTTGATCATAGTACCATCGCATTATTCGGTGTCTGCCAGGAATGTAGGGGCGATAGACACCAGCTGGAAACCTCGAGACACTATTCAAACAATCGGCAAAATATTACAAGTATATCTAGTCCAACGGAGATCATCCTCACATCGAAATGAAAATAAATCATCCAACATGCCAGCCCGCCTGCAGACCCAACCCATTCCATTCCACATCTCAATCCTGCCATTATATCCCACCCCACCTGCCACCATCTCAAAAATCACTGCCCAGCTCATCAAAGCTATCATCCGGCACAGCCATGGCCACATTACTACTCTCCAACAGTCCCCTCACCTTCTCCACCACCTCCCTCTGCCCCCGCCACTTTTCCACCATGCCCTCAATCTTACTCCTCAGCTCATCACTCCACGCCACAGGATTCCTCGGTATATTCTTCGCATTGCGAATCACAGCCGGGAGCAAGATATTCGTCTGGAAGCCAGGCATGTTCATGTAGGATTTGAATTCAGAGTATGTTTCGTCTAGGTCGCGGAGGGCGGACTCCATGGTTTGGTAGGAGGAGTGCAAGGTGTAGAGGTAGGTGAGTTGGGAGGAGGTGAGGGAGGCGGCGCGGCGCAGGAGGAGCAGTGTGGTTATGGCGTCGTTTTCGGTGGGCGTGAGGCTTAGGGGTGTGCGTTTGGGGGATGGGGCGCTGGCCCAGAGGGGTGGAAGGAGCCGCATGTGCCAGAGGATACGGAGGTCGTCTTTGCTGTCTGTGAGGGAGCGCATGAGGTGGGTGCGGCGGACGGAGCGGAGACAGTCTTCGTGGTGGGAGAAGGTGTAGGGTGAGTCGGTTTTCTGGGTCGTGGTTGTTAGCATGTTCATGCGAGCTGTTTTGAAAGCAGACGTACTTGTTCGAGTAGTAACCGGTATTGTCGCTCCGTCTTGAGGAAGCGGACGAGCATGTCTTTCCACGCAACCCGTACCAATCCCGTTTGCAGTGTGACATCGACGTCGAAGTGCATGCGCCGCCATTCGCACGGGAGATCCAAATCTAGGACCGCGTGGTCGAGCCGGATGCACCAGCGCAACGTCCCGAAATATTCTTCCCTGCGGCGCAACTGCAGTCGGTCCAAGACACTATACCAGTCTGAGTCCACGTCGAGAATGGTATCGCCATCATGCGCTTCCGCACCGCCTACGTGCCTGAATGCGTCATACCACTCCTCTGCGATCTCAAAAACGGCGTGCGTCGCGCTCCACGCGGGTCGATTTGTCTCCGGGTCTGACGCAGTGTCCCACTCGACGTGCGAAAACCCTGCTTCGAGTAAATGGATGGACTCATACTGTTCGTCGTCCAAGTCCACCATGAGTCCAAAATCTCTCGCACCCATATACCCCACCAGCTCTGTCCTCTGTAGACAGCGGTATAAGACCCGCCCGTCGATCGCATCGCGAAAGCCACGGCAGACTAACCGCCAGTCGAGGATATAGTCCACAGGGACATGTTCGAGAATCTGTAGGAGCAGTTCTGCGGGGAGGTGCGCTAGCGTCCTATCGCTCGTAGAAGTCGATCGGTCTTGGCTCGAGTCTATGGCGGTGATGAGCGCAGCCACATCGTCGGTGGAGAAGCCGAGCTGGATATGTCGCGCGAGGTAGGAAGGTAGGGGTGCGTTATCATGGTTACAGTTGCTGGAGGAGGGGGCGTGGATGGGAAGGCCAGCGGGCGCTCTAGCGCGCCCCGGTGACTGCGACATTAAAGTTGATCCAGGTGTGGAGATGCGGGGATGCGCGATGGTTAGGGGATGGTGTGTGTTTTAGTCTCGGTCCGAATCGGCAGGCACGTGGTGTGGCACAGCTGCGCTCCAAGGGATTACGAGATGTGTGTGACGACGCGATTCCCGTGATATTATCACCGATGGCAACGTGCCTGAGAACTTGCTGGCAATGGAAATATTCATATGAGTTTCACGATCGGTGACGCGGGTCTTGCCGCTACTCCCACGCTGGCGATGCTTGCCTGATCACCGCGACACTCCCACCCCATTCGAGAAATAGAAAACTTGAACGCCCTGGAGCCTATATTGGCGTTGGGTCCTCGAGTTCGCATGTTCTTATTTACATGTAGGCTGCAGACCTGTTCAGTTCCTTCCTGTGAGGTACCCCAACCGTCCTCAACCCACAACCCGCCCTGGAACGCGCACACGCGCGACATGAGTTGACGATCTCGCGTATGTTCGGCAACTCGAAAGTGATCCTTAGACTCCAGAGCGGAGTCAGTGGGTCGGACCTTGGCTACTGATGGTTTAGTCCCAGCGGCTTGCCCAAGTGGGGTACATGTCTATCCTAGTTGTCAACGCGTATTCCGCAGCATCCTACGGATATGAACAGCCGTTCGACTTCCTACACAGAATACAGGTGCATGAGGGAAAGCTGTCCCGATGGTGCAGTCATACATCTCAGCATGGCTTCCAGTCGATCTTTGGCTCGCTCAGCGCCTTCTACCCGCCATCCTCATCATACCGACCAACTCCTTGAAACGATTTCGAGATGGCCCCCGCAGTCCGCCGACCCGTACGCGTGGGCGGCGCATCAGGCGGCTTCTCCGACCGTGTTCGAGCCATCGCATCCCTCGCCAAAGACGACGTCGATGTCATAGTAGGGGACTGGCTCTCCGAAATGACCATGACAATGCATGGCACCGGAAAGCTCAGGAACAAGGGGCAGATGCTCCAAGCTCGTTCTTTCGAAGAGAAGCTCAACTATGCCATGTTCGCTGAGAACTTTATGGACTGCTTTACTCCTGCAATACAAGATATAGCTACTCGTGGCATCAAAGTCTGTGTCAATGCGGGTGCATCGGATACGGAGCTACTGGCTCAGCTTGTAGATAAGACGTGCAAGGAAGCTGGGTATCCGATGAAGGTTGCTTGGATTGAGGGTGATGATGTTACGGGTACTGTCAAGAGTATGCTAGATAAAGGCGAGGGGTTTAAGAGCTTGATGCATGATAAATCGGTATCTGAATGGGGTCTGGAGCCGGTTTGCGCTCAATGTTATCTTGGTGGTCTGGGTATCGCTAGAGCACTGACGGAAGGCGCTGACATCGTCATCGCCGGTCGTGTCTCGGATGCTTCGCCAATCATTGGTGCCGCTGCATGGTGGCACGAATGGACGAGTGATCAATTCGATGAATTGGCTGGCTCTCTTGTCATTGGTAGGTCGTTTCCAATCACACGTGTACGTTGTACTAATATCTCCAGGCCATCTTCTTGAATGTGCCGCGTATGTATCTGGTGGTTACTGCTCCGACTTTCGCAGTCTTCTGGCCCAAGGCAAGCACATCAACATGGGCTTTCCAATATGTGCCATCGATAACAAAGGCGAGGGTGTAATGTACAAGGAGAAGAATACTGGCGGCTGTATGACAGTCAACTCGGTAACATCTCAGCTTCTCTACGAGATCCAAGGCCCACTATACTACAACTGCGACGTCACCGCAGACCTGACCGACATCAAAATCGAACAGATCTGCGAGGACCAAGTCAAAGTCTCCGGCATCAAAGGCCTGCCACCACCCCCAACAACCAAAGTCGGCATCACAGGCTTCGCAGGCTGGCAAGCCGAATACCACATCTATCTCGTCGGCCTGCACATGGAAGAAAAGTGCCGTTGGATCGAAGAGCAGATACGGTACGAACTCGGCCCGGAGCTGATCAAGAAGTTCGACGTCCTAAAATTCATGCAAAACGGTTCCTCCGTCATCGACGCCCGCAACCAAGACGTCGCCACGGTCGATTTCCGCGTCTTCGCCCAATCCCGCGATAGAGAGTTACTTAACATGCGCAACCCCAAGGGCTTCTTCCGCATCTCCATGGTAAATTTTCTCATGTCGTGTCCAGGCGCGTCACTGGGCAACGACGTTCGCCAAGCAGAGGGGAAACCATATTACGAGTACCATCCCTCGCTTCTTCCACAGTCAGCCGTCAAACAACGCGTGCATTGTATCTGGGATGGCGAAGCAACTAACGGGTTCGCGGACGGCAAGAAAGTGATCGATATGCCTCTCGCACCCGAGTTCCGCGAGTACCCGCGCCAACAACCCTCCTACGAAACTACATCGCCCATCTCACTCGACCACTTCGGTCCTACAATCCGCCTCCCCCTCGGCTCCATAGTCCTCGGCCGCTCAGGCGACAAGTGCTCAGACGCCAATGTCGGTTTCTTCGTCCGCCACGCCGATGAATGGGAGTGGTTGCGTAGTTTCCTCACTATCGACAAGGTAAAGGAGTTGTTAGGACCTGAGGAATACAAAGGCAAGCCGATTGATCGGTTTGAAATGCGCAATGTGAAGGCGGTGCACATTTTGTTGCATGATCATTTGGATCGTGGGTATGATGCTTGTAGTACGTATGATACGTTGGGCAAGAATGTTTGTGAGTATTTGAGGGCGAGGAGTGTGGAGTTGCCGATTAGGTTTGTGGAGAGGGGGGTGCTGTAGATTGTGGTAGAACGGAATACACGGTGCTGGCATATCATGGTGCTTTCAGCTTTTTGAACCAGAATCGACATATCAAGGCTATGGCAGAGTTTTGACCTTGATATGTCGATTCTGCATGGAACCCCGGAAAGCAGCATAAGCGAGAAGAGCGCCATTGCTTTCGATTATGAATCTCTTACATCACTATCGTGTCTTTTCATTTTAGATGTTATATATTGATTTAAGCTTATCCCAGAGACATGATAACCCAAAGACATGATATCCCAAAGACATGATATCCCAAAGACATGATATTCGCCCCTGGCGCTTTTGAAGTTTGAGAGCCGCTACTCAATCCCTTTGCTCTCATGCAAATGTCCAAATGCTTCTTTTGACATCCCTCAACCAAGATGCTGGTGCGCCCACATGAGTCGTTTTACCGTCCTTTTTGAAGTCAAGAACGCCTCCTCATCATGTGGAAGAACGGTCAGGTTTCAACTTGGGAAAGCGCAAGTTCCATATTTGTAGGCTTCTATGTTTTTATTTTTCGCTAACAGGAGAGCGCAGCCATCATGAAAGCCGCATTTGCGTTTTTTGTTCTTTGAGAAAATAGGTGGTATTGTTGTAGAGAAAGAGTACCGCGTGGACGGACAATTTATACAGACCGCAGTGGCCCAAGCTTCTGGGTAGTCCGCCGAGTACCGGTGTTGCAGTCATGGTGACTGATGTAAATGTTTTGGATAAAAGTGAGCTTCTTTTGAACTAGCGGAAGCCCGAGAAGACGCCATGTCTACGACTGTGTTTAGTTTTGTAGCCACATGAAGAGACATCGTGTGGATTTTGGGGTTTTTGATAGTAGGAAAGATTCCACGAGTAGAGGGAAAAGTATGGAAGGTGTTTGTGACGACTTTTGGATATTGAATCGACATCAGAGACTCAACCATGTCTTTTCTGGGTTGCATGTGCTGTCGTGAGGACTATATGTATAGTATTTGCGGAGAACCATTTGTAGTGAATAGGGGTGTCTTTGACATTGCGAGAGGTCTCATGCAAGCTGGTCGATAACCCTTGTTTTTTGGAAGAAAGGCGCAGAGCGTAGAACACATAAAACTTTCTTATTCCAGTTTTGGTTTTGTGGAGAGAAGAAGTGGTGATCAAGAGACTGGAAGGGAATATGCGGAAGGTCTGACTTTATATGAGTGTCTGTGGTGGGGCGCAAGTGGTCCTGGCCGGAACCCACATCTACGGTCTGAAGCTGCCGCCCACCATCACCTGTGATGCTGTCAAGAGAACATGACGCCCAAAAGATCACTTTTTGTGAATGGGGGGATTAATGTTGCAATTTTGCTCATGTTCGCTTTCAGGCATGGCGATCGTTCGATGGGGTCACTGGCGCCAGGGCTCAATCAAAAAAGCCTTGGGTAAAGTCATGGAATAGTCGCAAACATGTTTCGTAGTGGTAGATGCCTCGTAATTACCCAAGTCCGAAAAGACATCAACACTCGTCAAAGTCGCGAAAGGCACAAAGTAAGTCGTGACGGCAAAATGACGCGCCCATGATGCAAGCGCGGCCAGGCGCACTGACCTGCACCATTCACACCAGCCTTACGGACCCTCGTCTGCTACTGAAGATAACGGAAGGTCGGTCGAGTCTCGTCTCGAGTTCCAGCCACCAAGACTCTCCAGAAAATCGTGCCGCATCGATCCACCGTTGCAGGAATGTTGCCCATGTCACCGGAACGGGCGTCCGCGCTCGCGTGCAAGCATGGCATTCATCAATACCGATGACAAAAATCGCATGTAACACGCTCAAATCCGATCCAACTTACCCACTTGTTTCGGCAGCGACATCCAAAGCCCTTGTCTCCCGACTTGCGATTGACAGTTGATTGGCACGCGGCCCAGTTCGCCGCAGCACATCCCCACGACGCCAAGGACCCTTAAATCCGACTATCACTTTTCGCACACCACCATACCAAGCATAGACTGCAGCGGTACTCAATGCCAGCCAATATACTATGGCCTACAACATAATTGTGGTCGACGGGACGCCTAGCGGTTTCAATAAATGCTGCATGCGGTAGGTGTGGAAAGTAGGAGGATTGCAGCGGAGAGAAAGGCCGAAGATGGGGTTGCTGCTTTGAGTATGAAGAGGGTGGGTGTGGATAATAGGACGAGGCCGCGGAGGTAAAGGCCGCTTTTTGTTTTCTACTTGGAGTAGGAAGAGGGGAGGTGTTGAATGTAGTGAAATCGCGGTGTTTTCCTCCATCCAATGGGTTTGGAGTCCGTCGATGAGCGATGCGGTTCATTTCATGGTCGGTTCAACGCTCTAAGCGACGAGTTTGATCATGTGTCTTGGCACAATGCTGTTTTGAAGGCCTTGCGTGCTGTCAAGATCATCATGTTGCAAGACGGTTTTGGAAGAAGAGCGCAGCACTCCCACTGAGCGAAGGAGATGTGTCTTCGTGATCAAGGCAATGGTTAATAATATGGGTCAAGAGACATCCCCAAAGTATTTAGGTGACATGCAAGCAAGCCTTGCACATGAGTTTGCGCATACCAACTTTTTAGAATATCCATAGGAAAAAGTACACATTGAACTTTCATGTCATATTCGTAGATTTTGAAGGCCCCCAGGCGTATACAAAATGACACCTGGTGTCTAGAGTCGTGATTATGACGAAGTCCAACAGCTACATTACATTTGTATCAAAGACTTTGAAACGCGATGGGCTCTTTGACTTCTGCACTCATGCGACTGCGGTGATGTAATTCCGCTCAAGATCTCAGGCATCTGTCGAGTACGGACTTTTGACGACGAGCTCCATCAATCGCCAATGGCGATTTTTTGGAAAAATGAAGCGTTCGGAAAACTGATCCTCCAGGGAGACATCCAACGGTAATTCGGCAGTTTTGAAGTTTGGGCGGCAGAACAGAACATAGAACTTGCCATCTGTTGTTTTGGTAAGGTAAAGTGAAAAGCGAAGTTATGGAAGCTTTACCTTCCATCTGCGAGATATTTATATTGTCAGAATACCACTGGCGTTAGAGTGGAGCGACGAGTACAGCTCATGGACAAGGCAGAGAACCGAGAGAACACATGGATCCAATCTTGCTAATTTTTGACAAATAGTGCAGCAATCTTCCGCCCGCAGGACTCATCCCAGCCTCGAAATGTCTTTTTGATCTGCATAAGAGCAAATATGTCATATGGCTGCCGATTGATGGTTTTGGACTTTAGTCGAGCACTGAAGACTACATGATGTTCTCAAGAATGGTACAAGAGATCCGAAAAAGACGGACATGTGTACCCAGCGATCTTGCACTTTTCCCACATACCGCCTGCATTCTTTTTTTTTTTTTTTTTTTTTTTTTTTTGCAAAAGCGACATATATTCGATGAATGCGGAGTCTTGAACGTTGTCAGAGAGCAGAAGTCATGGAATCGCCCGTGGCGATTTTGAAATGATGGAAGAAAGGCGAGCTGCCGGGAGACATATCATGGGAGTAGCCGAACTTTGGAACGATCGAGACAGCTCCATAGATCTCGAGGGAATGAATTTTGGAAAGAACCAGGAAATCCGGACATAGTCGTGTTGTCTCGATATTTTTGATAAATGAAAGGTGAGGATATGGAAGAGAAGTTGGAGGACATGAGAGGTGGTATTTATACTCGCTAGTCTCGTCCCCTCCTAAGGATTCTGGCTGCGCAGCCGGTGCCGGAGGAGTTGACAGCCATCACATGAATCACAACTTCGCGCTTGCGCCCGCATTCGGCGCGGACGCCTGCTCGATCAAACATCCCGCAAAGAAGTCCGCAACGTCGTCGAAGTCATCAAGACTCGTCACTTTGGATACATCTACGTCTTGTCAGTATTTCTCTTGCAGTGTCAATGATTGCGCGTCGATTGCTTACATTGATCGGGTCTCACGATGACGATTGCGCCCACGTCGGGGCTCACACCATACTTGTCGTACGCGTGACCATGACTGGAATTGTAGTGGTCGTCGTCGACGAACGTCTTGTGGAGATCTATCGTATTGGTCAGCGCGATGATGGACGAGATATGAGGGGGCGGCATACCGCGTATATTCCACTTTCCGCTCTTTGGCCAGAAGTAGCCCGGTATGCTTTCTTGCTCCGTTTCCGGGAATTTGCTGCTTAACACAAGGAGCGTCTCGATGATGCTGTCGATGTGTTTCCCAGCAGGTGTATATCGGCTTGCAATTGCTTCGAGTGCTTTTGCCAGCTGAATGGTGTTAGAATACGAAGACTATGGGAACTGGGCGCGCATACCTTGGCCAGTCGCTCGCGATGCTGCGCTTGGTTGACATCCCCTCCAAACACCACGACGCGCCACCTCCCATCACTCCTCAGCACACTCATCAACTGCACAGCCTTACAGTCGCAAAACCGTATAACCTGCGCACTTGGAAAGCGCGTCCCCACCGTGACCGCCGTAGCCGCACTCTTCTCCTTCTCCATCCCCTTGGTAATAATGGTGTCTTCGTACCTCGCCGTGAACCCCGCCATATACCGCCCGCTCTTCCGGAAGTAGTCTGCAAACTCGCCTTCGTATCGATCTTTTCTGCTGATCATCTTTGCTAACTCTTTGTCAAAAGCAATGAGATCAGCTGCCGTCTTGCTGCGTTCGGTAACGTATGTCGACAGCAGAGAAGGAGGCGAAAGACCAGACAGCACGGAGCCAAGCTTCCAGCCAATATTGTAACCATCTTGAAGCGACACATTCATCCCCTGACCTGCCTTCGGCGAGTGCGTGTGACACGCATCGCCCGTCAAGAAGACGCGATTATGCGCGTGGAACACCTCAGCCAGGCGTTGACCGATACTGTATGCACTCCACCAAAAGACATCTGCAAAGTCCATGGTATATGGCGCAAAGATCCTGCGAGTCTGGTCTTGCAAGTCGGCCAATTTCACTGTCTTGGGCTGCGTGCCGGCGGGAAGCTGGATGTAGAAGCGGACTAGTTGACCACCCTCGCGGGGAATGATGATCAAGTTGCCGGCGGTACTGTGTATGGTGCACTTGCGGCGGATGTCGGGGAAGGTTGTAAGTGGGTAGATATCCATGACGCCCCAGACGGTATCGGAAGAGTCGCCCAGCATGCGGATGTCGAGGGCTTTGCGAATGGTGGAATGCGCGCCGTCGCAGCCTAGGACGTATTTCGCTTCCCAGACCTCCTCTTTGCCATCTTTCTCAGCGGTCACTTTGACGCAATGCGCGTTCGGGTCGTTCTTTCTTTTCTCGTCAATGTCCACGCCCTTGACGGCCCAGCCGTACTCGATCCCGTTGCTCGTGCCTTCTTTCCACTTTCCCTTCTCCTTCATGATGGTCTCCATCTTCCCCAGCATCAGTCCGTTCATGCGCGCTTGATTCAGAATCACATGCGGCAAATGACTTAGACCCTTCTCCGTATCGATTGATCTGCTCTTCCTCTTAATGCCACCTTGCTCATTGCCATTGCCATCTTCATCAACACCCCAGAAGCATACTTCCAAGATATGGTATGCCTCGCGCAACAAATCTTCCGATAGACCAAATGACTCGTAGATCTCTACTGTGCGCACCTGGACGCCATCTGCTTGGCCGATCTTTAGTGGACCAGGACGTCGCTCCAGAATCGTGAATGGGATATTGTAGATTGCTAGCCAAGTTGCTGCGAAGACACCAGCGGAACCGGAACCGGATATGAGAACATCCGTTTTTGGCATCGCGTCAATGTAGTATATCGATTCGTTATCGAATTGCTGGAGTTTGGCGCACTAATGGGTGAGCCCGTAGACGGCAAAGATGAGATGAAAGGCGATTGTATGCGATGATTGCGATAATGCTACCCCCTAAAGCGACGGTCAATGATCAGTAGCAGTGAAACGTACATCGCGAGATGACAGCATTCCGCGAAGTTATACCTGCCGAATGAAGCCCCGAGGGTGCATCGGACATGATGCGGGGATGAACATCGACCCGCTCACTAGCGTATCATCAATGCAGCGAATCCGGGGAAGGGGCCGGAGTAAGGTTCTCCCAAACTTCGAGCGGTGAATGTACCACAATTTTGTGAAGACAGTTTTCCAAGGTTGTCAGCAGCAATGGTATTTGCATTGCTTGCTAGATGGAGATGGGTTGGGTTGTGCTGCTCCGGCGCTTTACACGCGGCCCCAGGAAGCCTCGGCTCGGACAAGACCCGATGTAAAGAATACATTAAAACACCCACCTACAGAGACAAGAGAGTATATGCCCTAGAAGTCTACATTACCTTGAGATCTTGTCGTAGGCTTGTCTTTGAACTAGTGTAGACTGTAAGGCACCTCTTCGTCCCCTCCCTTGTATGAGACGATGGTGTGCGCAGGGAGGACTTCGGTCGATTGTAAAGAGTTGATATTACTATATAAGCGCTAAATATGTCATGATCTCGTCTGCAAAAGGCGGCAAAAGAGCACATTACCAAGTGCTTTTGCGGTTCCCAGTTCCTCCAAATTCCAAAAGTTACCGTTCACAGGCAGTAGTACAGTGCTGAAGCATTTTGCCGAAGCTGATGTGCGCCATAAACTCCACCCAATGCCGTAAAATGGTATGCGCAAAACATGTATCATCGAAAGTAAAACAAAGCGGGATGTTGTCGTGAGCCTAGTGGCCGACGGCGGAGTAGTGCGAGTTGCGCGTGTACGGTTGCTGGTATAGCGATGGAGCGTAGTCGGAGTCCTGGTACATGGTGCCGCGCTTTTGGTCCTCCTCGAGGAAAGGCTCCTTGACCTCCCAGTTGTGTTGCTTGACGCCGACGGAGAATTCGAGATCTTCGCGAGTGATGGAATCCCAGTACTAGAAATTGTCAGCGTTGTTCGATTGGATGATGTTAGTGATAAGCGTACCTTGTAGACCATCATGACAGCAAGCAGGTTGCAAATAGTTGCGAAGAAGAGGCCATCGATGTAGTGTTGGACCTGGTCGCAGATGGTGTCGCTGAAGACATATAGAATGACCTGGCCGATGACAAAGAAGAATATGCCGAATGAGATATCACCGAGCGGCCAGCGGTCCTCCAGTGTTCCGACAACCAAGATGATCTGGCTGACGGTGTATACGAAGAGGCAGATGGCGTTGACGATGTAGGTAACGACAAAGATGCCGACGGGGTTGCCAGGTTCCAGTCCAGCCCAGCCCTTGAATGTCAAGAGGTTTACGGCACCGCCGACGATGAACATGGCCAGCGAAGAGAGGCGTAGGAGCCAGACGGAGAGTGTAGTGCCATCCTCGTAAAGTTGGAAGCCGACGAAGCCGTTGATCAGTAGACAGGTGCACAGCGCGGAGACGAGGCCATTCTGGGCGGCGGCGAAGTACGGGTAGGCAGCGGAACCAGGAGCAGCGACACCGGCATCGAGGACGAGCGATATGATGGTCAAAAGGAGGTAGATGTAGAAGAAGGATGTGATTTCCTTGCGACCTGCTGTGCATTAGTGAACTGCTCCGGCTATAGACGGCAATGCGCAAACGTACCGACAGCTGTGAACTTGGAGCGCACGTGGATGATCATGACAACGGTCATAATCATGGCCAAGATATGCATGAAGTCGTTCGCCGCCTCGAAAATGAGGGTATTCGCAATCTCAATGGTGCGCGCATAGCACTCTGTCTGGATGCCCACGCCGTCATTGATCGCCTGGTGGCCCACAAGCGCGCATAGTGGTATCGGTGCCTTTTCGCATATCGTCTGGAAGTCGCCGAAGCCCATGATGGCGGATTACGAAACGTGTGGTGTCGCTCGGGTTGCGGCGGGTCTGGCGCGGTGTGCGGCGGTAGCTTGGTGTCGGTGACGGTAAGTGAGTGAAGTGTGATAGCGGAGGAAGGTGCGGACGATTAGCGAGTGAATGTCCGCAAGGTAAACAGAAACGAGAGAAGGCGCGGTGGGGTGCGACGAGGGTCAGGGATACTATGGGGGCGGTTGTCAGGAGTGAATGCGCACTGTTGACACTTCCAAGGTTCCCGAGCCGCACTAGGCCCACCCTGCAGGTCGTATCCACATCCAGGCTAGTCCGTGCTATTTGCGTCTCCACGATTTTCTCCGGGCAACGAAACGATACCACCTCGTGATGCCGCCACTCGCACCAAAGTCGCGATCCTCCTCTTTTGTTCACAACCTTGTGGAATTAAGTCACCTCTGTCCATATCATACCATGTCAATAGAAGTAACCGCAGCGGCTCGTAGTCGCACATAAGAGAGCATGCTCGAGCACCCCTCGGTGAAGTAGATACCCTAGATGTCTACATTGCCTCAGGGTTCTGTCATTTCTTGGTTTTATCGCTAATGTAGGTTGCAGAGCACGCGATTTGTGCATACGTGGTTTAATATCGATAGGACACATCGACAAACCCGCCTGATGGAAGCTGGTACTTGGAAACTAGATTCGTTGCGCCGCTCGGGTCCTAGGGCAATGCACCTCGTTCAAGGAAAAGTATGGACGCCCTAGAGCCTACGTTGACGTTGAGTTACATGCTTTGCATCTTTTCAGATTAATGTAGGCTCCACGGTGTTCACGTTCTTTCTTGAGTGAGGTGAATCTGTAAAACCGTGTTCTGTCGGAACAGGCGTCAACATCCTGCTAAAACCATATGGTATAGCTTAACCTCTGGTATTTGCACCGAGACGAGATGGTAGCCTTCCGTGATTGGGATGTCACTATGGAAGTCCCGCACGGTCAGGCAGTCGTCAGATATGAGCAAGTCTCTTTCACTCACATTCCACTCTCACTTTGCACCCGAAATCTCTTCTCGACGAGCGCGACCCTAAACCATCGACTTCACTAGCAATCACCGCCCACTTCTGCTTCCTTCGACCGCTTGCCCTGATGATCTGAGAGCTTCCAAGTCCTGAGTCGCCGCTCTTAACAGCCGACGTCCTCTACCAAGAACAAGTTCCGTCTCAACTCCATATCACACACGATGGCCGACTATCCTCCTGATTTCTCCCGCACCGCCAACGACGCAGTGTCGCGACTGCACGACTACCAGGCGCAGAATCCTCTTCGTGTCACGACTGGACCAAGGGGCTACTCAACTTCTCCGTCGCCCGGTCTAGCGTCCCCGTCCATGTCTCCAACCACGTCTGTACGCCAGCTATCGCCGCCTTCCCCAAAAGTTCCCAGCTTCCAGCCTTCGCGTATGGCTATACCCCCAACCGCGTACGCACCGTCACACACTTCCGCGCAGCATGCTCAGCCGAAAGCTCCCCTGCCCGTTATTGGTACCCAGTCGAAGTCGCCATCCCCGCCGTATGCTCCGCCGACAAGTCGCATACCCATTATCGGTACGCAGTCGAAGTCGCCTTCCCCACCGTATGCCCCGCCGACAGGCCATATGCCCGTCATTGGTACACAGTCGAACTCGCCATCCCCAGAGCCATCGCCAGGACCGTATGTGCCGCAGTTCTATCGCGAGCCGCTCGAGCGTCTCACTCGCGAGATGCTCTACGATCGCATATATATAGTCCTGCGGGATACCTTGGCTATCTGGTGGGCCGAGAATCCGGACGCGATGCATCGTCTAGTCTGTAAGTTCTCTTTCTCACTGCACCACATGATTTCTCCTCCGCTGACTTAGGATATTTCCAGACTATCTGTCCGACTATGTCATTAACCTAGGTGTACACGGTATCTTCGGTCCTAATGGTATACAGTCACTCTGGCAACTCTGCATGTTCATAGGGCATGAGGGTAGACGTAGCTATATGTGTTTGGCCGTCCATCCGGAACGCGGCCGCACTGGGGCCCCCACGATCGTTCTCAAGGGCGACCTCTGCGAGAAGGAGGGGAATGACCCATTGGTAGACGAGGAGGTCTACGGATTGGCCAAAGACGGGTTTGAGAAGGCCGCTCTGGGGTTGCATGCAATGATCCTCGCCAAATCTCCAAAGATTTAGCGGTGGGAAAAACATGTTGGTGCGGTTGGTGCTCCTCAGACAAGGAAGAAGCTGAAGAAACTGAAGGAGCGTGCAGCCTACGATATGACAATGAGAAGCAATTGGCAAGGCGTAGCGTCGTTGTAGGCTCCGCGATGTTCAGTATTTCCCTTGAATGGCGCGGCCACATCTTGTAAGCTATCTTAGGTAGTTTCGACTCGGTAGCTGGCGTTGGAGCGCGCGGGCATGTACATAGCTTGTAAACACAGCCATATCTCCCGTCGATGAAAAGATACAATGCCTCATCTGGATGCTGCACTCTTCTTAATGACAGTCGTTGCGCGCCTGATCTGCAACGTCGTCGCACGTCAGCCAAGAAAAAATCTAAACAGGCCTGCAGCCTACATCAACATGGAAGCATACAGAATAGGTGACCTGGCGTCGATGTAGGCTCTAGACCTGTTCGGCTTTTTTCTTGTATGAGGTGGTCGGACATCTGCGGGTTCGACATCTCACGATTGGTCGGCTCGTAAAAGCACGTGATGCTTCCCGGGCGCTGATGTCATGATTGGCCGTCTCCCGTCCGCCACACTCGCACCTTCGTCGCGTATCCTACCCGACCATACTCACGCGTCTCCATCATGCAGTCACACTGTACTCTTACCGCCATCTCTGGCATGTATCTAGGATGTCTTCGACGAGCGAGGCGTCTTTCCAAACCCGCAGACGGGCTCCAAAAGTGAAGACAGGCTGCAAGACGTGCAAGTACGCAACGGACACCTTTGCATGTGACGAAAGGCTGACACATCGATTCCAGAGTGCGACGCGTCAAATGTGATGAGAAGAAGCCAGAATGCCTCAAGTAAGCATTGACTCCCCGTTCTCGCGGATCATTCCGTGAGCTAATGCTGTCAGGTGTGTGCGTACTGGCCGCAAATGCGATGGTTACACTACAAACGACGCGAAGTTCCAAGTTCATGTCTGGACTCATGGACGAGCCTTCGATCCACAGAACGCCATCTCTGCCTTAAGTGGCCTTGGAGATAGTGCACGCTATCTGGACTTCTACTACCATTGCGCCTGCCCTGCACTCTCCACCAACTTCGACAAAGAATTCTGGTCTCGCATCGTACTGCAGATGGCTCACTCGGAACCAGCCGTTCGCCATGCCGTGATAGCTCTAGGAGCTCTTTGCCAAGCCGAGCCTGGAGATATGAAGCATGCATGCGCGGGCTTCATTGCCAATCACGAGCGCAAGGTCATGTTATTTCATTACAACAAGTCCATTGGCTGCTTAGTCAATCGAATGAGCGATGCCACTTACTCGCCGGAGCTTGGACTCGTTATCTGTCTTCTTTTCGTCTGCATTGAGTTCCTCCAAGGCAACTACCATGCCGCCTTCACCCATTTGAGGAACGGCTTCAAACTAATGTACGCGCCCCGCATGGCACTACCGAACTATCGGGGCTCATTACAAACCACGTATCCCCCAAAGGTAGCATTGAACGGGTCCGGACCTTCGAGAAACTCAACAGAAGACAAGTTGGTGTCCATCTTCACCCGCGGCATGGCGCAAGCTTTGCTCTATGGCGCCAGAATTCAGGAAGATTTGGAGATATTGCAAGTGATGCCTGCTTCGTACTCCAAGCGCTCATTTGCGAGTCTCTCCGAGGCGCACCAGGCCTACTTCGAGCTTCGCAATGCATCTATAACTCATCTGTATATTATGGGAAGAAGATCACTCGTTCGGCAGGATCCTAGTCTTGAACTGTATCGAGAACGCGACAATCTGTTGGCGTGCCATCATCTCTGGTACGAGAATATGCAGCGCTTTGAGAAGCATCATGCGCTCTCGAACGATGAATTAATGGCTGCGAACGCCCTCAAGGTTTCGTATCACACGACGTTTGTTTACGTATCATGCTCAGCAACAGTCATCGAGAAGACATACGACAACTATCTAGATCACTTCAAGAAGATCCTGCATCATGCCCAAGCAATCATCGACTCGAGGCCGCCCACGAACCCAAACACCGCTCACTTCACTTTCGACATTGCGATAATTCCTCAGCTCTATTTTGTCGCAACTCGATGCCGCTGTCCCGTTACCCGACGAAAGGCAGTAGCGCTTCTAGAACGTAACCCACCACGCGAGGGCCTTTGGGATGCGGGGCAACATGTGGCGGTGTCCAAACGAGCGATCGAGTTGGAAGAAGCCCAAGTAGACCAAACCACCGGCTGGCCGGTAGAAGAAGCGAGATTATGGAATTGCATAATCAAGGCTGGGATGGACGAAAAGGGTGGCTTCTCCGCGACATTTCTACCAGCCACATGGATTGGGGACCTTGATGCGAACGGAAATCAGAAGATGATTCGCGAGTTCTTCGTTCTGTGAGTGTGGCGCGCCACTGCATGGGGGTTTTACGGACTATGCCAAACGTCCAGAAGGGGGTCTCCACGGGCACGGTGACATCGCCTTCATGCCGCGAGATGATACCGCTACAATTGGCAAAGTTCTATCTTCCATTGTGACAGCAGCAAACGATCAACAAGCCGAGTACATGAGTAAGGCATCAGATCAAGCACCCCGCCGACCACATAAAAGCCTGGTCCCGCCGAAACATAACTCGCAAATATTTACACTCCAATCCAACAAGTACAACTTCCAAACATGACTTTCCACCCAGTACGACACGCTTTCCAGACAATGCTAGCGGACCAGAAGTACCGTGGTCTTCCGCTCCTCACCGCTTCAGACTACACACCTTTCCTCAGTACGTCTCACCCTCTTCAACATGTCGATATGTTTGCTAAGACATTGAAGAGGCCATTGAAGCTCTCCTCGCGAACCCCACCTTCATGCACGACCATGCCTGGCAGACAGAGTCACTCGAGCATTCCATCAGTCGCCCAGCCTTCAGCGCCAAGAACCGTGACGATTGCAACAACAAGTTGGATATTCGTCGCTACGAGGGCGCGGAGAAGGACTCCCGTGGCGCGACGGTGTTCGAGGGCAGTGTTGTTCTCATCGTTGTTGACGGGTATGTGTTGGCCAAGGGAAGGAGTACCTCTTCGCCGGCAGATGCGCTGCTGGACGTGTTCCAGAAGGTCGTTACTTTGGCACGAGAGTATGAGTGAAGTGGCTCATGGCGAGCATTGAGGTTATCTTCATGGCCTTCCTGTATTACTAGTGCCCTGCGCTTCACCTCTTGGCCGCGAGGGACTGTTGCTGGCTGTCATATGCTCTATCATAATGTATACTAGGCTTGTACCAAACTATTAACGGTACCATCCAATCATCCAAGGCTGCCTGACTCCGAGTGATGCTTGATGAGAGATCGTGAACATGCAGCTCGATTGCTCGAAGCCGCCTTCGCAAACATGCGGAAAGGCGTGATCAGCCAAGCTATCTTGCGACACTCATGGATAGCAAGCTAGACTGCTGCACACACCACCGGCTGGGCTTGACATCAAACGAGAGTACTATATAATAGGCTTGTTGCTGCCGGACCCGTATCATCTTCAACTCCAAGAATACAGCAACATCCAACAAGTCATGGCCGCAAGAACACCTGACTGGCAGTTTGATAACTGTATCGATAGTGTGTTGTTGGACTGAACCATACCCCAGTTTACCCATCATGAATACACGCCTTGGCGTGGTAAGTAATGCCTATTATCTTGCGACCAAGCAGCTGACGTTGCGGCAAGACGACATCATCTACCTCCTCGATACAGGGCGGAAGAACATACAGCACTACGACTGGGAGAACGAAGACAACATCGAGCCAGTACCTATTCCTTCCACTTCGACAACTCTTGTCGACGGCGATGTCTCGTCGGTATCCAATGAATCCGAAGAAAGCAGCAAAGTGTCTAATCCGTTCCCGTACGAGTTCGACGCGTCCGAGAAGGCATGCCGGGACCGTATTGCTATCACCATCCAAAGCGGGCCAGAGGTCAACAATACTGATGATGTCAGGTTTGATGGTTTTGTTGCGCGCTTTCAGGTTGGCGACTGGACGCTCATGAAGGGTCGATCGACGGAATCGAAGAGGCAGGCGATGGTTGAGCTTTTTGCCAGGGTGCATAGACTGGCGCAGGAGTATCGCGAGAAGGATGAGGCGGACCGTGTGAAGGCCGAGGAAAGGCGTATAGCGAAAGAGGAGGAGGAGGCTGAAGAGGCGCTTGTCGAGTAGCGCAACTTCCCATACCAACGACGTCGTGGGTGTAATTTGGGGCGGCAGGATGTACAAAGACTCTGTATAGCACTTGCTTTAGATCCGCTTTTCTGATGGTGGTCGCTAGCTTCCCAATCAGTCAATCCATCAAGTCGTCGAGCAAATAACATTCCTAGATTGGTATCTCATTCAGCAGAAATCTAAACATCTTAGAGCCTACATCAAATTTTGGTGATACACTTTGCATGTTATCATCGTGATGTATTCTGCAGGCCTGTTCGGTCGTCGCCTTCACTTTGAACGAGCGACAGGCCCATGATGACTAACCACTGCGCACGAGGACTGTTATGGGTTGACGAGTGAGAGAAAGTCGGCCCGCGGTCTAAGGCAATATCATCAGTAAGTATGGCTCGACTTATATGCCCTATCGCGGAAGTCTCACCATTCACGACCTTGTGACTTCTCACTCTGGGCGACCACCGTAACGAATACAACACAGCCCGAAGACCACCAGCAACCCGTATTCTCAACCGCCACACAACCGACAAGAGCGATGAAGCTAAGGCTCCGTCTCGGGCAGCCCAAAGATAGGTTGCGCAGCCATCTCCAGAGCTCACTCGACGATTCGTTGGGCAGACTACCGTCGCACGATCGGACACAACTCCTTGGTAAGGAGCCAGGCCAGTATAGCTACAATCAACTAATCGCGAGCATCAGACGACCTCTGCTTCTTGTTACGCAGCCCTCTCTTCCTCTACGCCATCGCTCCGCGTATACGCCGCGCGACAGCCACATCGGAGCGCGCTGCAACCGGTCTCATGACGCCCAGTTCGCTAGCCGACGAACGCGTCAAAGAAGAAGGCATTGATATATCAGCGCTGAACATGAGAGTCGGATGGGATGGCGAGAGCTGGGCGACCCAACTGCTCTACGACGACGTTCCGCTCATCGAAGGTCGAGAATACAACACCACGAAAAAGGCCGGCTACGCTCCAAGTTTCCACTGGTTTTGCGAAGAGGCGAGATTTTTGAGCTGCGAGTTCCACGCTCGAGAACAAATCGCGATGAGTGCGCCAAACACTGTCGTTGAAGCGGAGCCGAAGGAGGTGGAAGGTCGCCAGACGCGCGCGAAGAGTGCGGGGACGAAGCAGCGTCGCATCGTCAAGTTGAGTATAAGGTACAAGATGGTTCGTGGCAAGCCGAAGCTTACGAAGAAGGCGAGTGGAATGAAGAGGATGTGATGTACCAAGAAAGCGCGGAAGGACCGGGTTTGCCGAGATGTGGAGGGATTGAAGGCTTAACCGTAGTGTTACAGTGGGAGAGACATGGTGTCATGGAGCGTGGAGCACCTCGCGGTATGCATCTGTTCGAGAGGGTGACGGAGCGTTCTCGTCTTCTACAGGCAGCATTGCTATTCCCGCGCTATCAGCATAGACGAATGTGAATGTACCCGTATGCGAAGATGGTTGTCCTTGACAAAGTGTAGATGAAATGTTGCCCCGACGTATACATCACCGTCCTTACATGGGGCTGCTACTTCAAGCACTACGTATACTGCCATTGTACCCAACTCGGGATAATTAGGTCACTTCGCGACGCGTCCCGTTACGCTCATGCAGAGCCATCCTCAGACGAAACAGACCTAGGTAATGGCCATCGGGGATGGATCTCGCCGCAAAGTCGATGACATATCCTGACAGTGAAAGTGAGTCTAGAAGCCGCTACGCAAAGATGTACGACGCGTCTGAGCAGGTAAAGGTGATGCGTGATACTGGAGCCTGAAGACTCACCATCACCGGCAATGTTCTACAGGCGCCCGGACGCCGGAGTTCTCCCGACAGCAGGCAGAAGAGGTGCGTGCGACGCTACTGAGGCTCACGTGACGTCTAGCGCGCCAAGGCCAGGGCCAGTATATATTTCTGCCGTCCCTCTGCCTCCTCTCCTGTTCCCCAGCTCTCTTTGCCTTTTGGCTTAGATCAAGTGTAGTATCTGTTCTTTTCAGTTTAATCTCTGAAACGTAAGCGACCCCTACCCCCTTTACCGCCTTTATCGCTAACATTTCCCAGGTCACTACGGTGACTTCAAGATTATTCTTATTTTTGAAACTAGTCGAAGAGGCTCTGGGCTTGCTCACCTTCTTTGGCACAGTGTCGCCAGTATTTCACTACCTCTGGCCGACGCGACTTTTTCATTGAGACTACTGGCTTGCCAGTAGCTTAAGGAAGGAGTTTGATCGTGATCTTGAACTTGAACTTCATTGTCAATACCGTCGCCATTGAATCAAGAGATTGTTAGCTGGATGATGTCAAGGTTGTTATTGATGTGATCCTCATTGCGTGAGCGCAACGATGATGCATCCCTAAGTATTGCATAATCCCTTGCCTGAGATGGGGCCTTTGTATTCGTCATTTGCATCTAGATAAACGTGAGAGCATTACTATGTTTGTGTCGTGTGCTCTGTGACGGCCATTTAGTTCCCGCCCTCAAAGCAAGCCCTGACTAAAGTTATGCGATGACACGAAGCGTGTGTATGGGATGCCGTTTACAAGTGCTTAGAGTGAAGTCACGGTATGTTGCGTAGTAGTGGTGGCGCACGCATGCTTATTTGCCCTTGAAAGCGCCGCATTTAAATCGTAGGACAATTGTGCTGAACTCATTTAGTGTGCACTCATGCTGTCTAGTCGAGATACTACTTTGGAAAGAACTGTTAGCCTATTCCATGAGCTTGCAGTTGAGTAAAAGCAACTTTGCGCGGTGAGAAGTGAAAGACCGAAATTTTGTAGCTTGCCGTGACAAACAACGTCGGCTCAATCCTCTACACGAACTTCCTTGCAACAACACCCCGATATCAAAATACACGTCAAGATGGCAGCAAATTCAGGCATGGTCAATCCGGCCATCTTCCAGGATCTTCAGGCGCGCGTAGACGAAGACACTGCTACCCGGGATGTAAGTGGCGGCCGAAGGAGCTGCACGTGATAGCGTACTCACAACGCGACAGGAGCTGCGCGACATCATCCAGGCGCTTGAGAAGCACAGTAAGCACATCTAATAAGAGTATCGAACTATACTGACAGCACTTAGATCGCAATGTCTCTTTCGTGTTGTCGAGAGCCCACTCGACGCCGGTCAACGAGCGTGAGTCGCTCTTCGCCTGTCCAACGACACCACGACTAATTTGACTGCAGTACCCGACATCCTCAAAGCTGCACAAGAGCCTATCGGAAATGTGATCGACACCGTTGGCAAGCTGTCGCAGGCTGCGTCAAAGATGCCGTATTACAAGTTCAACAACATGTGGAGCCGTCAGATGCAGGGCGCAGTAAGTTCATCAATCACACCATGTCGCCATCGCAATGCTGACAACACGATAGTGCGAGAGCGCTCTGTTCTGGGGCTGGCTCGGCGGCTACAAGTACGATGGTGGCGAGGTACATTGCGGCCGTCTCTTGACCATCGAGGAGCTCGGCGAGATCTTCAAGAGTACGTTCAGGATTATGGTGCACATGCGCAATGCTAACTACTGCAGTTCCCGTGAACCTCAAGGACCGCGATGAGTTCCACCTCTCGCTCGAAGAGTACCTCCATTCTCTTATGACGCTCGTCGAGGAACTTGTTCGTTGCCTCGCTCAGCTCCAACCCGCATCAATGCTGACAGTGACAGACACGTCTCGCACGTAACGCCGTCACTCTCGGTGATTACGAGCGTCCGCTTCTCATCAACCAGTTCGTGAAGGACTTGCACGCTGGATTCCAGATCCTCAACCTCAAGAACGACAGTTTGCGCCGCCGTAGCGATGGGCTGAAGTACAGGGTCAAGGACGTGGAGGACGTCGTCTACGATCTGTCTTTGAGGAACCTGTTGCCCAAGAAGGGTGAGCAGAAGCAGTAAAGGTCTGCAAGGTGATGCTGAAGGAATGCTACTACCCAGATACATGTCGCACGAGAAACACGCTACGAGATGAGCAAAAGCGAGGGCAAAACAAATAAGCAGTCAATAAATTCCATTACCGTTCACACTTCTCTACCACTTCGTTCAAACCATAGAGGTGCTCGAAAGATGTCCGCTGTTGAACCAATGAGCGAGCAGCACGGACATGATCACGAAACTTTCCGACGCGCGACATTCCTCCGCAACACCCGCGACTACAGCAATCCAACAGGCCAGGCGCCACTTCCGCTCCTTTAGACGCCGCTCACACTACCTTGCGTCGCCAATTGACATATTCATCACGTTAACAGCAGCGTGCATCGTTATCCTCCATCTCACTCGTAAACATGGCCAGCACAACTGTCATCAACGCCAACGCGACGGCAAAGGTTCAACCCTCCACGGCGCCGCCAATTGAGCCATTGAAGAACGATAGTGCACGACTTTACACGCATATACACCCGATACTCGTCCTCTCGGTCTATGCCTTCAAGTTTCCCGCATTGGTCGCGGACCCGGTGCCGACGCTCCTATCCACTCTGGCGCCGCTCGCCGTACTACAAATAGCATTCGTAGCAGTATGCCTTCCACCAACAGGAGGCACACCTTCCTTAAAGAACAAAAAGCCTGGCGAGAAGAAGGGGAAGGCACCTGGCAAGCTGGAGCAGGGACTCAACTCGAAGATTGTCGTACGTGTACACTCCCACTCGTACAGCCTACACTAGACTCGCGACAGCCAACCAAAAGAAAACGTTACTGACTATACGATACACAGCCGGCATTCTTATCCCTCCTTCTGACTACGCTCGCCGCAACACCGCTCCTCACCGCGACCCTCGTTCTCTTCGGCGCGCCTGCCACCACGCATCACCTGCACACTCTCCTCGCTGGAGCCCACATCGCGCTGCTCAGCACACTTCCATTGGTATACGTTCACGGTGTAGACGGCGAGACTTGGAGGCAGATCATCGCGCTACTTCTGCCGATGGATGAAGTCTACGGAGGACTGATTGGTACCGTGCTCGGTGCATGGCTGGGCGCTGTACCCATCCCCTTGGATTGGTAAGTACTTGACTCACTCCAGCGTTGATACCGGAGTCGACAGCGTATTTGCGATGAGCATAGCTAACGAAACGCAGGGACCGCGAATGGCAGAAGTGGCCTGTCACCATCGTTACCGGCGCTTACATTGGATACGCAGTTGGAAAACTGCTCGGTGGCACACTGTTGAAGGGCAAGAAGATCATGTTTGACTAGAAGATCATGTGTGGCTATATGATCATGCTTGACGAGCGGGTCATGGTCCTCATTGGGATCTTTCTTTTCCTGAATGGATTGTCCGGTTGCCTGTACTGATGTGTGGATACTGGACAACGGAGAGTTGTGGGTGCGGCGCTCTGTCCATTTACAGGTACTGAGGAGCGAGCGATCATAGCCAGCTACCTTTTGCGACGATATCAATACGATCGGCTCGCCTACATGCTCCAAATCGAATTTTGACAGGGTTACACACGTCTCTCACAAGGTACAGAATTATTCCGCAAGATTACAAGTTGGTACGAACCGCGCGGATACTGCAGGTACTACAAGCGTCTCGTCGCGAGGCGCCGACCTAATAGCTCTCGGAGCTCCGACCGATGCGAGCTTCCTCCACAAAAGCCAAGCTTCCGCCCGGCATTCCCAAAGCGGCAACCCCGGCGCAAACACGACCCTCTCTCCAGCTTCCAGCAGCCCACTTATCTGAATGCAGTATACCCAAGCCTAGCATATCATTCTGACATCGTTTCGGGCTAATTTGAGCGCGTTTTTAGGCTTCTAGACGCGTGTTGAATACCTGGCACCGAAAAATTGAGTTGACGGGGTGTCCACGAGCGGGGTTCATGGTCATGATGTTGATCGAGGCGGGGGATGCGGGGGACTTGTTTAAAAGGCACGATGCCCGGCTGAATTGGCGGTACGCCGCGTGTCTTGATTGCTTGGATCCAATTCCGCTATTTTCGAGTTGGGTACACGTTGGCATACGTGATTGAATTGAGGTACGTTCTTCGTCCGCCCCCGGCTTCACACTACGGTTGTCAAACACACCTGCATTACAGTCGCTAACAACCTTCAGACTTTTGAATACTACACATATCCATACGAAGCGCTACAATGTCAAGAAAGCATTTCTTTCCCAACCCAGAAGGCGTAGTCCTCCACAACCTGCGCTCATTATGCACACGCAACTCCCACATGGCGCTCGATGAGGCCAACCGCGTCGTTTACAATCTCTCCCACCCTCCAAACCAGGTCACTCTTGTATCTGGCGGCGGTTCAGGACACGAGCCGGCATGGTCCGGCTTCGTCGGCGACGGCATGCTGTCAGCTGCTGTGTGCGGTGACATCTTTGCTTCTCCCAGCACCAAGCAGATCATGGCTGGAATACGGAACGTGCCGAGTAACGAGGGCGTCATACTGTGCATAACAAATTACACAGGAGACATGCTGCATTTCGGTCTTGCCAGAGAGAAGGGGCAAGCACTGGGCTACAAGGTCGACGTTGTGTGCATGGCGGAAGACGCTGCCTTGGGTCGCGAGAAGAGCGGCAAGGTAGGTAGGAGAGGACTGGCTGGTAACTTGTTGGTCATCAAGCTGGCTGGTGCTGCATCACAGAAAGGCTGGGCTTTCGAGCGGTGTAGGAAGATTGGCGAGTTGGGTAACTCGCAGCTGGTTACTATCGGCACGAGTCTCGATCATTGCCATGTGCCTGGTCGAGAGGCATTCGAGAGTGTGCAGGACGATGCTTGTGTGGTTGGTATGGGTATTCACAACGAGCCTGTAAGTTTTGCTATCTCATCCCAGCAAGCTTAAGGTCGCGAACTGACTTTTCCAGGGTCTACGAACCATCTCTCCGATGCCCAGTCCCGAAGACGTGATCAAAGAGATGCTCCGGTACCTTCTCGACCCCTCCGACTCCGACCGCGCATTCGTCACCTTTAACCCCAACGATAACGTTGTCATGCTCGTCAACAACTTCGGCGGCCTGTCAAACCTCGAATTCGACGCCATGGTGAACCTCGCCCTGATAGCCTTGAAGCGAGATTGGAAGATCGTGCCGACACGCATCTACGCCGGCGTACTAGAGACATCGCTGAATGCCCAAGGCTTCAGCATCACACTCGGCAACATGAGCGGTATGGCAAAAGCCATGGATCTCAAGGACGAAGATGTCATGGAGTTGCTGGACGCACCCACAAACGCCCCAGCATGGCCGAAGAACGGCTACCAGCCCCTCAACATCAACAAGGAAACCGAAGAGCTCCGCAACAAAGCCAACGCCGCCGCGGCCGACAAATCCCTCCTGCACAAGGGCCCCGCCACACCAGCATCACTCATCCCCGCGCTCCGTCAAGCCTGCAAAGACGCCCTCGCAGCCGAACCCACAATCACGCAATACGACCTGCAAATGGGCGACGGTGACTGCGGCGAAGCCGTAGCCGGCGTCTGCAAGTCCATCCTCGCCAATATCGACGCCGTAGAAAGCTCTCCACCACCCATCCTCGCCCTCCTCGAAAGTATAGGCGAAAACGTCGAAGACGTCGGCGGCTCCCTCGGCGCCATCCTCTCCATCCTCGTCACCGCCTTCACAAACGCTTTATCAAAAGCCACTCTATCCCAAAACGCACCGCTGGATATCTCTACCCTCGCTTCCTCCGCGTCCGTCGCTCTCGAGAACCTCAAGAACTACACCAGTGCACGGGAAGGCGACAGGACGGTCATGGACGTGTTGATCCCTTTCATCAATACGTTGGCTGAGAGCAAGGATCTGAGCAAGAGTGTGGATGTCGCGGAGAAGAAGGCGGATAGCACGAAGGATATGAAGGCCAAGTTTGGGCGCGCGACGTATATTAGTGAGGATGGGAGCGAGAGGAGTAAGATTCCTGATCCGGGGGCGTATGCGGCGGGGATTTGGCTGAGGGGGTTGGAGAAGGGGTTTGGGGGGTCGTAGGGTAGGCTTTTAGGGGATGTGGTGTGGTAGATGCGCGACGCGAGATTCGCTTAGTTGGAATGATGATTGAGAATGTTGTGCTCGTCGATACTTCTTTGCCTGGCAGTGATCTGCTCCATTGATATCGTGGAAATGCAACCGATAGATGTTATCGTACTTGCCACGTAAGCCGCCAACTGTTGGAGTCATTCACAGCACAGTGGCTATTCCATCTCTCATGCGGCCAGCGACCACTGCCATCATACAAGTCCTTTGGGTCCACAGACTGGCCCATATCAAAGTCGCACTTGATCACCGAGGAACCCTTTGATATATCTTGCAACTCCTGCCACGCCAGCCCGCGTGGATCCCAGAGGTAATCCGAGTAATTAAAGCCAAGAGCATGCGTGTTACCTGCGTTCCCGTTCTTCGCTACTTTGTCGAGCGCCATCTGCCAGGCTGCCGCTTCTTGAATGGCATTGGCTATCTCTTTAGTGTCTTCAGGCGGCGTGTCAGAGTAGAAGGTGAGGTTGAATGCGCCCTTGGGTATATCGAATGCCGTATGTAGTGCTTTGAACTCGGCGATCCAATCCCAAAGTGTCTTTAGTTCTGTGCGACTGTCAGCCTTAATTTTGAGCTTTGAGCTTCCACAACACCTACTGTCTGCATGATGCGCATGCTGCCGATGCCAAGCTTTCATATGAGGTTGACGAGCTTCTTCGACAATGGTTTTCATGAGATTGACGCGACGATTGATGCGAAGCTTGGGATTCTCTTGCCACAACGGGATGAAGCCCTCCGCATGGCACATGGGGAAGAATCTGGAGCGCCTATCCTCGTCTATTTCGAATCGTCGGATTTGCCTGCGGGTCTTCGGGTCGAGGGCGTTCCAGAATCGTATTGCCACGGCCGCTGCGGAGAAGCAGGATGACGGTTTATATTCCTTCATAACAGGCCTTCCATCGATCCGGCTGAAAGCGATTTCGAAAGGGTTCGTTTTCCTCTGGAATTCCCAACAGGGCGCTTGCTGCTCCGGATCGGTCTCTGATAGCACCCAGAAATGCAGTTGGCTTATAGCTCTGAAGAGTGTTCCGGGGAGATCCAAGCGCTCTTTCATTATTTTCACGGCGCGGGAGACGAATCTCAGCTCCGTAGACCAGGGCTCTGTAGCCGTGGGAGGAGTGCAGCGCATGTATTCCCTACCTGGCCCCTCCCTATTTGTGTTTGCTATCAACTCCTGCAGCGCGTCCCTATACTGAGGGAACCCTTCCAGGATCTCATCGGCTACACTTGGGGTGATGCACTTAGAGAGCTTCACCAGAGCCCTATGACGATCGAAGGAATGCCCTTTTGTTACTCTCCACGAGTTGTAAGCTTCCCTTGCGAAGCGCTTCTCTTCGGTAGTCGTGGCGTGGATGGTGTTGTGTTGGAGCGCTAAACCTTCCGTCTCTTTCGCGATCGCGCAGCATGTCAATCTTAATGATAGATCAATGTGATTTCCATCCACTGCACGCAAGGTGTTCGTGGTTGGATCGATGCGATAGCCATCACGCGTCGTGAAGTAATGCTTGTAAACCTCGTCTCGCAACTCCTGTGGTAGCCTGCCGAGGTAGCTATTGGAGAGCGAATCAGACGCTTTGACACCGTCGTCTGCATCAGACATGATTTTTGGCTGTGGACCCGGTAACTTTTGGACCGGAATTGTAGGTGAGGAGCCCGCTCCCCAACCTCGTTAAATGCCACCGTAGCGTCCCGCTAGTTATGAGATACGACCCCACATCAAAGATCGCATCTTGCCGAGCTGCCTCGCCTCTCCGCAACTTTACCATCGCAACGCATTCTCCGACCCTCCGCGACCCACGACCACAATGGATCACGAACTCAATCACGTTTCAGTGCTAGCAAAGCAGGGCATCGTTGGCCTGCCCGCAGAACTCCGAGAAGAGATTTATGGATACTATTTCAGACGTGAAGATGGCTACACTTATAACCCAGCGACCAACAAGTTTGTCGCATCGCATCAGGAAAAGAACGCAATGGCACTCGCGACAGTAAACAAGCTCATCGCGCAAGAAACGCGCGACTTCGTGGTCAAATACAACGAGATACATTTCACCACGGTTGCGCTACCTATGACGAAGCCCAATTACTCGCAGATCCGTCACCTCCTCACCGAGCTATCCAATACGCAAGACAGAGCTTTACGAAGACTGCTCACAATGTCAGATTGGTACGACGACGCTGCCCGTGACTACGTTCGAAAAAACCACGCCCAGTTTCTACCCCTCCTTGATCACACAAAGACATTGCGTGACACGGATGTCGACAGGTATAGAGAACAGTGGAAGGAAGTCCCTTCTATCACCCGCGATTTCATTGCATCAACACTGGATACCATAAGGCCGCGGTTTTGCCCAGGCTCGGCAACAGACCCGCCGGAAATGCCGCACATCTATCTGAAAAGGCTTTTGAAAACTTCACAAGGCTCAGCAGTCGAGCCGTGGCTGATTCCCACCGACGACGAACTCGACGAGCTGCAAAGGAATGCAGACGAGCTGCGACCATATGCCCGCTCTGCATACGGCATGAACGAGTTCTTCGCAGAACACAATAGGCGGTTTTCAGCTGCTGCCGTTGCTATCGGATATATGAAGCGTCTTCGCCCAGAAGCTAGGAAGAAGATACGATGGATTGTACTGGAAGAAGACGACGACTCCATTGCATGGCCTGAGTGTCACGCTCGAGGGCTCATACCTTTCTGCCGAGAGAACGGACATTTGCGCATCGATCGCCGAATCGATATATAGAAGAGTTAAGCAGAGCCTACAAATAGTACTTAGTCTAAGATCTTAACCTGTGTAGAAGTCTTATAAAAGTAAAGCTGCTTTACTTTATAGTCTTAGCTCTTCTTCTATATTTTTAATACTACTCTTTTACTTTATACTAAACTTAAAACTCTATCTACTAGTTCTTACTAAGTTATATACTATTAATTAGCTTTACTACTATATTTACTATATTTACTTTTTAGAATACTATTTCTCTATTCTTATCTTAAAGCTAAGTTATTAATAAGCTTCTTTATACGCTCTATATTTATAACTATAAGTATATATTTAGTTTTCTTTTAGTAGTAGAAGAAAAAAAAAGTAGTAGCTATATAACTCTAGTAGTTTATTAGTAAGTCTAGTATATTAAGCTAATAATATTAGTTACTAAAGCGTACTAGTAGCTTCTTATATATAGGTTTAGTTAGCTTTAAGTTAAAAAAAACGTATAAAACTTTTTATTTACTACTATATTATTAGAAGTAGCGTAAAACTTAGTTACTATAGTACTTACTCTTAAATACGTATACCTTATAGACTATATAGATACTAACGCTTAATAATAGTAAGACTCTTCTACTTAGTTAAGTTATTCTAGATAAACTAGAATATATATATTATACTATACTATTAGTCTTTTATAAAGAACTATAGGTATCTATCTAGAGTCTAATTAGCTTATATTAGGTTTTACTAAGGTAAATTAATAAACTTATAACTTATCTTTATACTATACTAAAAGTTATTTAGACTTATTACTATTATTCTAGCTTTATAAATAGAGTAAATATTACTAAACTCTATACTCTTTTATAGCTATTTTAGCGCTATCTATAGCGTAAGAGGTTTTTAGTCTTTTAGTATCTTATCTTTATTCTTATTTTCTATATATAAACTACTAGTGTAGTATAGAATATTTGTTGCGTCTAGAAGCATAGGAATAAATAGAAGATAAATTATTATATTATAAGCTTACTTAGAAAGCTCTCTTAAGTAGTAAAGCTTCTAAGAGCTTATTTTAATCTATGCTAGTATAATTACGTACTGTACTCTTAAGAAGTATCTAGAGGTGCGTTCTATAATATACTCTTTAAGTAGCTTACAAGAGTAGACTGCGTAGTTATAATAAGCTCTTTTATTATAGCTAAGAACGCTAATTACGTACTTATTAGAGCGTACGCAGCGCTAAGAGCTTGCTTAGCGCACGCGCGCTAATTATAATATTACTAAAAATTATTTAATTAGCTAAACGCTCTCTACTCTTTACCTAAAATAAGAGTAAGTATCTCTAATTTTTATTAGTACGCTTACTAACTCTAGTAGTATACTCTATTATACTAATTAAACTAAGTATACCTTTTTATATCTATCTCTAAGCTTTATAGTATTATATTAAATAAGAATAAGTATAAGTATAAGAATAGCTGCTTTTCTAAGAATAAGTAGTCTAGTTCTAGCTCTATAAGCGCCTCTAAAGTAACTTCTTTAAGTTTTAGTTACGTAAGCGCGTTAAAGGCTAAGCTATTAAGCTCTAACACCTCTAACTTCTCTAAGTATCTAGCTACTTTCTCTAAGATAGATAATTATAAGCGCTTAAATAAGCTTTATAGTGTTTCTAGAGGCTTTTCTAAGCGTAGTTCTTTTAGTAAGAAGTAGAGCTCTAGTTCTATAAGTGCTTCTACTTCTACCTATAACCTATTTACTACCTTAACTTATACTTTTAAGAAGTCTAATCTATTTACTAAGTATAGTAATATAGTTACTTAAAAGTAGGCTAATAATATTTTACGTTATAATAAGCGCGCTGCCTAGAAGTACGCTAATAAGTAGTACGCTTACAACTTTAAAGCTAAGAATAAGGTAGAGTAAGAGCATTATAACTAGATTACTTATAAGTGTTATATTACTAGTTAAGCTATAGAAAATAAGCAGCGTTTACGTTGTAAGCGTAATAAGTAAATTAAGCGCAACTTAGAGCGTAGCAACAAAGATTCTAAAGCTAAGGTAATTACTAAAACTAAGTATATTAAGTCTAAGAATAAGCGCTTTATTAATAAGTAGCGTGCTAAGTAAAAACGCCTTAAGATTCTACTTCTAAAGGCTATTAAGCTCTATTAAGAGATAGTTCTAGAGAAAGTAATCTGCTAAGCGTAGTAGTCTACTAATTCTATTAGCGTAATAGAAAAGTATAAT